ATTCCCACAGGAAATTCCAAAGCTATATAATAAATGGAATTCATCAAAAAATGGGACGAAAATCGAAATGATTTTACGAGTGTATTTGCATTAAATTTACTAATAAAATGAAAAAAGAAATGGAATTTCTTCATATTCTTAATAATGTGGGAGGGTTCCAGCCAAGCGGTGTGTTACTACATGTTGCGACGAGCTGAAGGCACTGCGATTCTAATCGATGATAGAATCTATTGTACCGTAAATCATATTCCCACGAATTAATAATTTGAATTAATCAACAAAATTTCATAATTGGTTTTAATGTGTAAATTTTTATTTTGTTTCAACTTAGTTTTTACATGTTGCAATAAACATTTTGATTTTTAAGGATTATATGTAAAATGGCTATTAACGGGTGTTCTTCCTAGAATCGTCACCAGCTTCAAAGTTATCAAAAAATTGAGAGATTTGAAAAATTACTTTTCATTCCCCTAATTGCGTATGTTGTGTGATAAAATGGCAAAAAGAATTATTTTCCGAGACCCTTATGGCTCGGCTGTGACCCTGTTTATCAAATTTGTTGACCCAAAAAGACTTTGTTTGATGTTTTGAAGGCATAGATGATGTCCAATTGTAAAAGTTGATGTACAGAAAAATTCGGCCTTCTAATACACACATTTTGGTACCCTTTGAGATTTTTGAAAATGAGTCCTTGAGGCTGTATTAAAAAAAGTGTGTTTTGAGTAGGGTGACCATCTGCGTAGTTTTTCAACGGACAGTCCTGTATTTTTCAAGACTGTCCTGTATAAATTTTTAAATTTTGTTCTTGGTCCTGTATTTTTTTCATGAAAATTTCCGATAATTTTCGAATTTTACTCTTTTTCCTGTTTTTTTTTTCGAAAAAATTTACCAAAAGTCCTGTATTTTCATGAAAATTAGATGGTAACCCTAGTTTTGACCGAAACTAATAACTCACACGATTTTTGCGTGAAAGTTAAAAAAATATCCTTTTTTGTCAAAAAAAAAATCAATGTTTGCCTTATTTATGTCTTTAATCGTTTAAACTTTTTTTGCTGTTTAATTTTTATTTTTACCTTTTTGTCATTTCTTACTTTTTTGGGAAGAACTTTTAACCAGTAACGCTTGCACTGCTCAATTTGTTTTCTAAATTTTCCACACAAAATCTCACACACAAAAGTTGCAATAGCAAACCCACAAAATCCAAGCCAAATTACAAAACCAAAGGTTAAATGTTCAATTGACAGTTGTGTCGGTCTCTTTTCTAATGCAAATCTATATTTCACACCAATTTCATTGTCAATCATCCAAAACATTATTCCAGCTGATGTTAAAAGTTCAACAGACTTTTTTGCTATCTTAAAGAAATAATTATTCATAAAAAATGCAAATCCTAATTGAGTAACTTGCATTGAAAAGTTTTTTAATTGATACCAAAATTTAGGTTGTTTTAAATATGAATCATAATTTAGAAGCGAGTTAAGCTGAATAAGTAATGAAATTTTTGCTGATCCATTTTGTGACTGACTTTCAAAGTACCACGTGTATTCTTCATCAGTTGTGCTTCGAAGTTGTGGCCTGAAAATTTTTTAAGTAAATCAAGAATTTGGTTCAATTCGGAGGGAAGACAACAACATTACGGAAAGAAATTTATGTGCAATTGTGGGAACTTATTTCCTACTTTGTCTTCCCCTCAGTTCAATTGTTCAATTTAATTTACCATCTAAACTGCTCGTCTTGAATTGATTTGTGGAAATGATGAAAATTATCATCTTTCACATACAATGTATAGTTCCTATCTCTTAAATCTTCAATTCGTTTTGGTGCTGGTCGTCTCGGCTCACTTGTCATAAACTCAAATAATTTACTTTGATAGCAAGTCCGAAAGATCAAGCAGAAGAAGACAAATAAGATGAGAAGAAATCTTGGAAAAAAAGATTTCGGAGTTTTAATTTGTGCAAATCCAAAAAAAGTACTAACAACATTTAATGACGGTGAATGAACATTTTCTCCATAAACTCTATTCTGAATGAATTTTGGCAATCGATTAATAACAAAAATTGCAATAAATGCAACTAAGAATGTAAAATGAAGCAATTTCCAAGTAACATCATCAAAAGGTAGCAAAAGTTTCTCATATGGACTGTAAAGTTCGCCAGGTGTTGCTAAAATAATATCACGAACTTCCATAAATGTTGAGGTCATGTGAATATTTTGATCATAAAACGTCTCATATCTGTAAATTTCAGCACACATATCTGCATCTTTCTTGGTTCCTTTAAAGCTGATTCGATAATTGAAGTTTGATGATATCAAAGTAAAGAAGTTTGGGATCAATCCTAAAGCTCTTGACATATTATCATATTTATCATATTCAAATCGACTCCAAAGCGCACCACTTTCACTGTGTATTAACCACATCTTAAGTTCACATCCATAAAAGTCTTGAAACTTTTCATAAGTTTCTAATTTTTTGTGCCATTTTTGTGCTTTTTTGTTGAATGAATTCAAAACCTTTAGTTATGCTTGATTACATGCTATTTCTGTAAACCATTCAATAGTCGCAAGATGGAGAAAACTTCCGTCATTAATTAACAAAAACTCAAAGTTTTCCAATCGTCCAGAATAAAAGTTGACTTTTCGGATAAGAAATTTCAGATCATTTTGGAAAATTTTCAGTTCGCAATTTTCGATGTAAAAAAAGAATTTTAATTCTTTATAAAATTTATTTTGCAATTCAATGTTTCTATGGGCTAACGCGTAATCCTCACATGATGTCACTGAAAAAATTGTTGATTGCTTTATGCCAACTTTTGTGTCTGGTCCCCAAAGCTTTAATTCGTATGCATTTCGTTCCTTAAACTGTGATAAGAATTCATTAATAGTGTTTCGGTAATTTGAGTCATTATTGATGATTGCAATGTCAAACTGAATTTGATATTTCATAAAAAATTCCACAAACACTTCATCAAGAGCTTTCAAGATTGGATTAATTCCTGATTCTTGTTTACAAATTATCAAATTAATTAACGAAAAGAAGTAAAATCTGCACCAAATCATATTAAATATTTTAAATATTTTTGTTTTTTTAAAAAATGCCTATAATGTTTGAGACTAGCTTCCTAAGTATTTATTAATAAAATAAATTATTGATTCAAATTGTTAATCTACAAAAAACATTAGTTGTAGATTTATCATTCTCTGTAGCTTGTTGTTGACTCAAATTGACAAAAAAAATGTTTTGTCTATTTTTCATCAATTATTCAAAAAAAAACTAGGCCCTGAATGTTATTTATTGACGTACAGTGTCACTGCTAATATCACACGAAACTTTAACCTTTAAATCCTTTTAGAATGGAAAATTGTTAAGTCATCAGTGACTACAATTTTAAAAATCAGTAATCTTAGTGTTTAAAAATTCAGACTGCTTTTCACGTGCTTTTTAAACGCAAAATATCAACAAAGAATTCATTCACATGCTTTTTGTCTAGAGAATCAAGTTCGTTGACACAAATAATTAAAAACCATGCTCACTGCATGCTTAACAATGTAAAAAATTACAAAATAAAACTATCCACAAGCCAACAAGTAAGCTTCTCATATTACTTTAAAGTTTAAATGGAATCAAGTTACAAGAATGAAAAATTTTAACAAAAAAAAAATTAAAGTTGTGTCAATATTAATAAAAATTTGTGAATTTAAGCAAACACGCGCATTTATTGACCATTTCTTATTGGAATTGTGAAATTTAAATATTGGTTAATTTGTACATTAAGCAAAGTGATTCATTTTAAATTTTTTAAGTTGAGTTGTATTTTTTTTTTTCAATTTTATATCAAAAAGTGGTTTTTATAAGTCCCAAATTTTTGGATTTACAGACAATTTTCGGTAACCTAATGGCATATTTTTTTAGGGAAATGCTTAATTTTTTAACATTTATTCATTTTCAGCTGTGAACTCAACACATAAGTTTGAACTGTAATCGCTAATTCATTAGATACATTTGACTTTGATCTAAAATTCCGTAATTCATATTAATAAATTTGAATAGAATTTACTTTTCCAGTCATTCTATTTCCACGAATGGGTATCACGAGATGCATCAAATTTTCTTTTAAATTTTAAAAATATAAGTTGACTCAATAAAATCCTTCAATTGTAGCTTTTAAATTAATGTGCCATTCTAAATTATTTAACCACAATTTGTTTTAAATATTTCGAATTTTTTTAAAAATTTCTTGAAAATAAAATAAACAATTTCAATCACTTACTTTCAATCTCATCTCATGTCATCAAAATAAAAATTTCATTGCAAAAAGTCTTTATTTAATAAATCAGAATCCATGCATTTAAAAAAATCTCCGCCTGACCCAAAAAAAAAATCATTCGCAAATATCAATAATATGCATATAAAATAAAAAATTTTACTTTCAAAATTACTAAAAAAATAAAACAGAAAGAGAAATCACGTTACATAAAGTAAGTCTGAAAAGTGTGAGAATTTAATTTTTTTTATCATACGGATCATCATTCGTTAGTTGCTTGTGCATCATCGACATATCAAAAAATATTTATTGCATGTGGATTTGCATATGAGTTGATGAAGATTGAATTGGGGATGAATAAATTAACATATTAATATGAAGTTTAAATACTGTTATGAAGTTAAATTGGTCATAATATTTAATATTTTGTGATAAAGTTTGAATTGAGGTCCTTAATTCTGAATTAATCAGGCTTCTTAAATGTATTTTGAATAAAAGGTTATTTTAAAAATATTAAAAAGTTCAAAAATGTCCTCGATTCATAATATATCAGATAATTCCCATTCGATTATTCCTACACCGTGCAAGGAAATTTTAAATCATCCACACACAAAGCCACACACGCATTTACTCCTACATAATATCTCAATATATCTGAATACTCATTTTCTTTGATTGGGTATAAAACACATTGTTTTGTTGTGAGAATTCTCATTCATAAGTTTTTGCTTCGTGTAATAAGAACGCAAATCGAAGAAAATAAAAATTGTCAATTTATCAATTTTTAAGAATGAAAAATAAGCAAAATTTTTTATTGATATTTTTCAGTTTTTGTGGAGTTAATAGTGAAGTTGTGGGCAGTAAAGCACCGATAGTGGAAACTACCAATGGCTGGATTGTTGGCAAAACGTTCAAGACAACAAATTTAAAAGAATTTGATGGATTTTTAGGAATTCCGTTTGCAAAACCTCCTGTTGGGAATTTGAGATTAAGAGTGAGTTAAAAGTGATTATTTTGTGAATTAGAATTTTTTAAAAATTTAAACTCGACTTTTATCCAAAGTTATATTCATCTTTGAGGGACCAAGGTGATTTCATAAGACTTTAAACTATTTTTCCACTTCTTAAAAAATTAATAAATCTTTGGAAACATTTGCAATCTCCTTCAAACTTCTAAATTCTTAAAAGGAATTTAAAAAAGTATTGACAACAAAAATCTGTGACCATAAAAATTTAAAAACTAGCATTTCAAGTTTTGATCCACAGTTAGATAATAAATCATATTAATTTGTTTGGCGGTACCACAAAAAGTATGCATTTTTGACCAAAAATCTTTTTAATGACGCCAGCGGCTGATTATACATGTGGTCCACTTTTACGCATTGACAACAGCTGGCATTATCTTCTTTTGTTTGTTACTTCCGTCTGGTAAATTTCCATTCTTAAAGCATATTGTTATAACTGCGAATTGTTTAAACTACTCAAGTTTTAGATCAATAATGAGTTGTAAATACTAAAAATAATAGTTTATTCATATTCACCACTCTATTTTTAAATGCTGTGTGAAACTTGAACAAAATTGTTTAAATTTTAAGTTTCAAGCATTTTCAAAGTTTTTGAAAAATGAGATTTCATTTTTAATTAAAATTTTTTTTTGAAAATATTTTGGAAAAATATACAAAAAATAATAAATTTAAATGAAATCCCGGATTGCACAACAAGCCGGTGTGACTCTAGCATAGTGCTGGGCTTATATGGAAGCTAGCACCATGCCAGAGCACCACCAGCTTGATGCCGGATGTCTTTTCAATTAACCAACTTTTGCTTTTTGATTATTTTATAATTTAACGATTTACAGGACCCTGAGCCATATACAGAGACATTTACAGAACACAACCCTTATTTTGCAACAGAAGAGAAAGCACACTGCATGCAAAAAAATTACTTATTGCCAAATCCATCTGTAACGGGTGTCGAAGACTGCCTTTACCTCTACGTTTACCGACCTAAGGTAAGTTTTATATTTTTTTTTAAATCAAGTGGAATTGTTTTTAGGTTCCTTGAGTTTAAATCATGAAATACTTCAATAATTGTTGTGAACATATTTGTTGAATGAATAAGAATTGAGTTGATGTAAAACAAATGTGGGCTCGACAACGGTGCTTCTGTAAAGTTTTGTAGTTAAAGCTTGCTTTTGTTGATCTTTTTTCAACATAATTATATTTGTGGCATGAACTTGGTTCAACAAAAATTCTTCAATTTTCTATGCAAAATTGTATAAAATCTTTTAATTATCTAGGCTGGCCATATTCGTGGTTTTTTGGATGCATAGTCCTCTATTTTTAAACATACTAAATTTTTCGAATGATTTATGGTTACCCTACAATTATGATAATTACTCATCCAACAAACTCAAAGCTATCTCATATAAACCGTTAAAATACTACTTATTTATTTAAATATTTCTGATTGCACATGAGTGTGCAATTAACACGTGCTGAATTTATTAACTGACTCATATTACACCGAATATATAAAAACATTGAAAAACTTCCGACAAAAGCAATGAACGGCGAGTCAATTGCAAACAATTTTATTATTTCTTCTCACTGACGTAATTTTTAAACGTATTTAAATGTTTGGAGGCTCGTTCTATTCAACTTTAAAAGAGCTAAGCTCGCGCGCGCGCGATTTACAGTAGTTATATTTGTATTTGTTGTTAACTTTTTTGAATCGCACTATATTAACATTAATATTTTCGAAATTAATGGAAAATACATCATTTTTTATTCCTTTTATAACAAACTATTTTTTCAAACTTTGATAAAATTTCTATAAACCAATTAATCTCTAGCAACACTTTCAAGGACATCTAAAAAAGGATTTTGATGAATGAAAAACACTTGAAAATATTTCAAGTGGCATTTAAAATTTTACTTTTTAATTTAATATGTGTAGGAATAAAAAAATTCAATTTAGATCTTAATATTCTGCAAAATGTGGGAGGAAATATTTATTTCACTTTATTATTGCTTTTTTATTTTAAAAAATCTTACTTTTATGCTGCTAGTGGCAATTTTGAAAAATAATCTCAATAATTCATCACAAATCATCTTAAAAGAAAAGTCAATATTTTTTTTAAAAAATAATTCTTTTACATGCGTTCAGCTTTTTTTACATTTGAACGTTGCATTGATTGTCATGTGTGCATCGTTAGCACACAGGAAGTAAAAATTACAGCAAGAAAATTAAATAAATGATTTTTAATTGCAGTTATTTATTTAACATCATCATTATCATCTTATTGTACTCGATTCGCATGGATTTAAATTAGCTTCAAGTCGATTTACGAGATTTTTTTTATTAACTTTTAATTTGCGTGTTAATAAATTCTTTGATAGATGCAGAATAATTGGCAAATCAGCAAGATGAAAATAGCAAGTATGCAAAAAAATTACATAAGTTCTTGTGTTATTACTTGAATGAATTCAGCGCATTTTTGACTGAACAGTATCTTTTAAAAACAAAATGAGTCAAAACGCTAATAGCTTGATTAACTTTGAGCTTTGAAGCTTATCTTATATTATAAGAACTTAGCTGAACTAGGAAACATAGTTCAATCTTCGTTCGAGTGCTAATAAATTCCAAAAGTTCCACAAAGTCAAGATAACAAGTCTGGAACCAAAATCAAAGTTTCAGGAAGAAATAAATCAAATCTGGAAGCAAAAACATAAATCCAGTTGCTTAATAGTCAATTATGTTTCTAAAAACATTGATCAAGCAATCAGAATTTTATTAAAGGACTTGCTGTTTCTAACATCTTTTCATATTTCTATAGCCAATTCCGTGAGTTAGAAAATCGAAAAAAAAAACATTTTTTAATCACATTTTTTTTGCTGCAATTAAAGAAATTTATTTCCATTAAAGCTAAACGTGAAATGATTTTTAAAATAGTAAAAACTTTATGGTTAAATCATGTCTGTATTTGAATATTTTAATAAAACTGTTGTCAAACAGTAAAAACTTCAATAAAACATTGGAAATAAGAATAAAGGTCTTGCTATCAAAAGTATAACGAATTGTAAATTAAAGTAAAACTTAATCAATATTGATTTTGACTACTTGAATTCAACAAAAAGCTCATTGTTGATCACTTAAATAAAAATATTCGAATGCTAACATAAAGAGACGAATTGACATGAAATAATTGTATTAAAAACAGTTCGCCTAAATGCTCTGCAGCCACATTTACCTAAAATTAACAATAATTTACATCCATATATTAGTTTTATTGACTGAATGTTAAAAATCTTTTTTTCAGTGTAAACTGAGCGTCAGAAAATGTCAACGGCCGTTGCCAGTAATTGTTTATATTCATGGAGGTAAAGCATCTAATTTTTATAACATGTTATTGAATTATGTTTATGATCCTTATAGGAGATTATAAGTAAAATTTATAAATTTTCTGGAATTGTAAACCACACGTGAGGTTTATAAGTCCAGATATAAAATGTACCTGGACTTAAAAACCTCTTGTGCAGTTTATAATTCCAGCTGTATCTGTACCTGGACTTATGAACTGCACGTGAGGTTTTTAAGTCCAGATGCAATTTGTATCCCTTAAATCTAATTTTCTTTTAATCTAGGTGCATTTTTTGCCGGGGCCGCTGGACCATCTTTAACTGGAGCTGATTACTTTATGGACACTGAAGACGTAATTTTTGTGACAATGAGCTATCGTCTTGGTCCATTGGGATTCTTATCAACTGGAGACGATAATATGAGTGGAAATTTTGGATTAAAGGATCAAACATTAGCGATGAAATGGGTTAAAGAAAATATTGAAAATTTTGGAGGTAATTTGAGAAAATTAATCAAATATTAATTTAATTTTAAATAATTTAATGTCCAGGTGATCCAAACAATATTTCGCTAATGGGACAGTCAGCAGGTGCTTCAAGTGTTCATCTTCATATGATGAGCAATTTGAGCAAAAATCTATTCAATAAAGCAATTATTTTGTCAGGAAATGGAAATGGACCATACGCATATGTCCTCAAAAATCCATTAAAACAAGCCATAGACTTCGCAAAAGCTGCTGGAATTAAAAAAGCTCAAGGAATGTCAAATAATGCCTTAAGTGAAGAATTAAGAAAAGTTGATGCTACAAAACTTCTCGATGCTTCAGATACTTTTAAAATTTGGTCAATTGATCCACTTGTAATCTCAAAACCAGTCGTTGAAGACTGTAGAGCAGTTGAAGGATTTCTGTGTGATAATCCAGTAAAGATGTGGAAAAATGGAAATTATAGCCGTATTCCATTCATAACAGGAATAATGAATGGAGATGGAGGTGTACGAGCTTTGTCGTATTTCTCGAATGCAACCTTGATTCAGGATCTGAATAAAAACTTTAAAGATTTATTTCCAAAACTTTTAGAAATTAATGACATTGAATCTGAAAGAATCACAACTGAACGACTTCAAATGGTTGCAGATCGATATTTAAGTGGACGAATGGATCTCAATAAAGAAGATATGAAAAATTTAGTTCATATTTATACGGATAGATCATTCTTAGCACCAATGGCAAATACATTATTGCAAATGGTTGAAAATGAAAGCAAAGGTCTCGGATATCTCTACAAATTCTCATATAAAGGCAGTTTGTCGTACGCTGGTTTTTATGCTGGAGACTTTTCATTCAAATATGATGATCCTGTGCATTGCGATGAGCTTATTTATTTAATAAAATCTCCGGCAATTTTTGGAAATCACCAGGAATTTGAAACTGGATCTAGAGATGCTGATTTCAGAAAAAAACTCGTCAAATTTTTCACAAATTTTGCTTCTTTTGGGTGAGTTTTATAAATTTTCAAGAATGACTTTTTTTAACTGTCAAAAAATAAAAAAAGATTTTTATTAAATTTAAAAATAATTTTTAATTCAGAAAACCTATCAAAATTAATGGCAAGTCACTTTACCGATGCACAAAAAATGACGAATTCAACCATGGATCTAAGCAGCTTCGATGTAATTATGTGGATTTTGATGACAAAATTTCAATCAAGTTTGACGATCCAATCGATCACAATGCGGTAGATTTCTGGAATCAACTTGATAATACTTTGATGGTTTAACAAGATAATTAATAATTGAAATAACTTACAATAATTAGTGAAAAGTTTAGGTCAATATTTGTCATATTTGGTCCCTTACCAATCCTTATTAGTATTAAGATTCATTTTCTAGATAAAAAAATTAAGTTCAAGTGATGCCTACAGATGCTTTTTCAATATAATTTGTTGGTTATATCAAAGCTTTATTTTAAAAAATACAACTTATTAAATATTGAAAATTATTGATTTAATTATCATTAAATAAATGTTTTCTTAAATCAAAATATTAAAATTTGAAATTAAATCCAGGGTTGCAATGTAGGCATCTATGTACAGTTGAGAACCGTAACATTCCTCGATAAATTCAAACCATACAAATTCTATTAAAACCTCACAAATTATCAAGGACTTGTACGGTTCTCATCTGTGTACAGGTGCCTGTATCGCAACCCTGCTTTAATCTTTATAGATGTGAAATATTCAAATATAATATTCGAAACTTTAATGTAATAAATATGATTTTATTTATAAATATATCTTTTAAAAATTAACATAAAATTACAAATATTCAGCAAAAATAAGATTTTATTTTATTAATTTTATGATTTTTAATGCTCACAATATCACATTGAAGGAAGTCATTTACTTATTAGCTGTTTATCGAATTTGTTTATTTTTTTAAATAAAGTATCTGGGAACTCATAGGAGACTGTTCATTTATGACATCCAAAGAGGGGGTGTAGGATGGAGGGTCAGCAAGAAAAGAACAATAGAAATTCCAAGAAATTCGTTTTTATTTTTTGAAAAATGACTCGTTACTTTCGCACGTCATAAGAGAACGGTCTTTATGGAACAAGCCATAAATCTATTAAAAACCTTAAAGCAGTTGACTAATCTTATCGAATTGTAAAGAAGGCCACTTTTAAGAGTTTGAAACTCTTTCCCCTAACAGACAAGTGCGTGTACTCATGGTACAGTAAAAAACTCAAAAGTATATTCAGAACATACTCTTGAGTATGTTACGGTCCCATGAGTATACTCATTCGTTTGTTAGGGTTCCAATCACTTTTTGATCATTTTTCACCATTTTGACCAATTTCGCATGTTTAGCATAATTTGACTTCCCGTAAAAAGGTTGTCCACTATTAAAATATGATGTTTAATAAACACATCGACTTAATCGTCATCTTTCTGTTTTGAATCATGACAGTTCCTTTGAAGTTTTTCCATACACATTCCAATGAAATTCTTAAAACTATGAAAATCCACCAGATAGAACCAAATTTTACAGAAAGCTATGTTAAAAGCTAATATCAATGTCTTCTTGTGTTAGTTTTCTGGCAAATTCCATCGATGGCGTTAAAGAAACCAACGAGTTTCCAGTTTCTTCTGATACTTCCATCAATTTAAAGATTAAAGACATTCCAACCTAAAATTTTTTAAAAATAAATAAAATTAAGAAATTCAGCATTAAAAATCAATTCAACTCACCACAAGAATAGCACTGTAAAGCATTCCAAATGCAATAAACACGAATTTAACTTTCATGAAATAAAAATCAGTTCCACTTCCTCTTTCCATTTCGTCTTCATCAGTCACAGCCATTTGATCATACTTCCTGACTCTTTGAATCTCACAAAATCCAACAATCATTAAAATGCTTAGAAGCACAGTTGACAAAAGTTGGAATGCAAGAATAAAGATCCGAAAGTTTATATGCACGTCATCGTGTGACTCGCCTATACCAAACATATTAAATACTATGACTTGAAATGATGCAAATGTGATAGCTTTGAGGATCATTAGATCATTAACGCTGTTTGGAAGGCGGTAGAATAGTTTCTTGATTATGAGAAGCTGGATTAGAATCTTAAATTTAAAGGAATTATACAAAATTGGTTTTATTTTCGTTTATTTTAGGATTTTTTAAACTTACAACAAAAGATACTGTAAGGTAGTAAACCATTGTGAATGGAATCATTAGTTCATCTGGATTATGATCACAGTCTGATCCAATTTTTAAACAAATCTTCATTCTAAAATATGAAAGAAATTTAAATTTGATTTTTATTATAAACTCGACTGTCATAAATGTTAATTTATGGGAGAATTCGATTTAAAAAAGTGTTTTAATCTAAACGCGAGCTTTCTGGATTGGTTGGGAGAAATAAGATAAGAAAGCACGAAACCACTTTGTAATCAAGTAAAGTCAGTTCACAGATTAATTTATTAAATATATTTAAGTATTAACAAATCGTTCTTAATATTGACTCTGTCTATAACTCGCAAAACTTAGCTTGGATTAACAAAAATAGCAAACATTTCATTGATTTTTGTTTTCCATATTAACAGTTTTAATATTGGACATTTTGAGACTGTAACCTTTTTAGCATATCTCGGCCAATAACAATTAATAATGTGTAGAAATGGTGAGAAGTATGAATTTTATTTGGGCAAAAATGTTATTTCTATACGAGGTCGTTAACTTATAATGCCAATAAAGAAAGGACTTTTAGACCACCTCACTCCCTTTCTTATTGCGTCTGTCACAAAACTTCTGTGGTTTTTCATAGTCCTAGAACCTCCAAGATGTTAGATGTCATTAGTGAATCGCCCTTATTACATTCAATTTGGTTGATTCAGCTTACAAAATTATTGGAAATATTGCTTTTGAAATAATTTTATAAATTTACATTAAACTTGCATTAAACAATAGTTTTTTTTAAAAAAATCTTAAAATTCCCGAATTTCTAAAATTTATCTAGTCTTTTAAAAATTTTAAAAAATTATTTTATACTTTTTTGATCTTTTAGATTTTTTTTAATTTCAATGCACTTTATTGCATTTACTGAAGACATATTGTCCGGTAATAATTCACATTTTACACTAAAAAACTTTTTATTTTCAATGTAAAATCTGCAAAATCATCAATAATCATTCAGCTCAATGGTCATGCAGTTTCTGGCCTTAAAAAGTTTTATTTTACTATTTTTTCCGCTAAAATACACGAAAACATGTTAAATAATTGACAACAATTTAAAGTACACAAATAAATCAGCTTTATTTTCGGCACAAGAGGAAGTTCATTGGAATTTGTCATTGACATTGAAGATAATTGAATTACTCTGGCTTAGCTAAGCTGTTCAAGTAATCGCGCATAATTGGTCTTGGGATGACAAATTTTTAAAAGTGTTTTACGTAGAACAAAAGTAAGAAATTTTTAAATATTATTAGACAAGCGATGTTGAAAAAATTAAATTAAATTTCAAATTTTAATAATGTCAGGTTTGAAAGCCACTCTTTTAAAAGCTCAACAATATTTAAAAAAAATGTTAAATTAGGTCTTTGAACTGAAAGTAGAAAAAAACAAGTGTGCACATTAGTTCACAAAATTGAGTAAATTCTCTTCAAAAAATGGGTCATACTTAAAACGGTTAAACATCTGTTCAAAATACACATCTTAACAAGTAACGACGAAAATTTCCATTTAAACAAAAAATTTATTTTTTGAGCATTTAGAATTCATTTATTAATATCAAACTAGAAGTTGTGTTCTATACTTTTTTATGTTAAATATTGTTCACTTTCAGGGGCATAGCCAGGAATTCGAGGGGGGGACAAAAAATTTTTTTGTATGGAAAAATTTGGGGGGGGGGGGGGGTTGTGATTTTTTCATAAAAACCCTAGCGAAATAAATAAATTTCTGTTCATGTTGGGAGATGTGTCCCCCAACTGAAAATTTTTTTCAAAAATAAATTTTGCAAGCAACAATCATCAACCTAATAATTAACTAAGCTCATAAGTTCCATGATTAAGTTAAGATTTCACTGTTTTCAAGATTCTCTTTTCCATTTAGTAGTTGATATTTTTGAAAAACAAGGAGTAAAAGAGATGACTTTCTTACATAACATTAATAAAAGTAAGTCACAAAAATAATTTTATGAATGGCATAAACTTCATTCAACTATTTTACAACAAAAACGCTCCCAAAAGTGTACATAAAAAAATGCAAAATAAAGTTTAATGCCTCAGCAAAGTCACATCAACAGCCCAAAAAACTCAGTAAAAACAGGTTCCTGCATAGCTTTCAAATTAGTTATTTATGATGAAAAACTATATACTTAAAAATCTCTTGTTTGACCTTCAACGAAGAATTTTAACAATCAGCCAAAATCGCGATTGTACATTGTATTAAGGTGTAAGGTCTAAATGAGATCATAAGCTGCACAAAAAGTTTTTTTGGCTTGATAAAATAAAATTAGTAAATTTGATTTTTTTTTGTTTTTCTAAAAGCAGCATTCAAGGTCATAAGTGGATGTGTTGTTAGCAGAACCAAGGTTGCGAATCAGTGAATTTTCGGATTTTTGATTTTGTTTCTTAAAACGTTTTTGTATGTTTCATTTTTTAAGAAAATTTCTGTTAAATTTTGAATTATCAGAAACTTATAAGATTAACGGGGTGCGCTGAAGTGCCTCGGTTATCGGAATAAGTTTGTACTTTGGTACTTAATTATTGCAAAACTGATAAAGCGATCATGGGTTAAAGACTCGGAACATGAATTTTTTTTTGTTTGTTCTTTTTCGAAAAATATGTACTAGAAATGTAGCTAATGGGCTTCCACTAATGTTATCAAATCGGATCCCACTGTAAACTCTATGTCATAACCAGCTAAAGTTCATTTTTTATAAGTCTAACTGACGATCTTACTTACTGTAACAGAAAAGGACTGTTACATGCTTCAAGTAATTAAGAACGATTCATCACCCACTTGAATAATTTTACACTCTAAGAGAACATATTTATAAGAAACACAATGACCTTGAGTGCATCATCAGTATTTATGCTCATATTAAGCTGCTACAATGAGATGCAATAATGTTATCAGATTTTTAAATCATCGAACTTAAATTAAACTCACATATTTATGACTGTTTTCCTTCTTCTTTCTTCAGGTTATTTACTTTCAAGAACACAAAAGCTGCGACGTGATCGTCCTTGTAAAATTGTCGGCTACAATTAAATATCAAGTACAGTTGCGACTGCTGATGTTTATTCTTTTTACTATGTTGATTATTCTTGATGATGACGACGTTTAACAAGTTGTTGAACTTGATCGTCACTGTTTTTTTTTTGTTTATGTTGCTCTTGATCTTGACAATTTTTTTTCAAACTGAAAATAAAAATCATTTCACAAACTTGTTCATTTTTACTCAATTTCTTTGATTATTAACTTTCTGAAATTATTGTTTTTTTTAAAGAAATTTAAAAGTGCTTGTTTGTTTGAGTAGACAAAGAGATAAAAAATGTTTGATCCAAAAATGTTCTGAGTTTAAATGCCAAAGTTCTATACACGTTTATTCTTTTATACAAGCTTTACGACCCTGTTGCTTAAAAACTCTATCGTAAAGATTTTTAAAACCAAATAAGAGGACCTTGTCCTTTTGAACTAATGTTGATGTAGTTGTTTGAATTCATTCTTTAATTCGACGATGAATTAAGATTGTTTTACTCAGTTTCTTGATTTTGTATCTACACAAGAGCTCTTGTGATTGTGGCTTATAATGTCAAAATTAACGAAATTTTGTGTGACACAAAACATTTTTTTTTCATTGGCATGTTTTTATTTTTATGAATGAAATGCAGGCATTCACTTTTGAATTTTCTAAAAACCCTCAAAAAAAAGTTTCACGAGAACAGTCCATTTTTTGTAAGGATCCACCAGTCTTAAATAAAACAAGCCAATGTTAAGAGAGAAAGTTGTCATTAGACAAAAATACTAGCTTTATATTAATTTAAAAAAAAAACACAATATTTCAAATTAAATGTCAACATATATTTTAAACTCATGAGCAAGTCATAATTTTGAAGTTAAAACTTAATAAAACTAGAAAAGTTAAAAATTCACAAAAAAACAGAAATTAATGGTTCAATGAAATTTTTGGTCAGCTGGTTTGACAATGAATTATGCATATTTAAGTACCGAAGGTGCACAAGCAAAAATGTCGGAGATGTTAATTTTTCCGGTTTTATTTTATTTAATCATGATTCTGTTCATAATTTGTATTTTATTCGGATTTTTTCAAATGTTGTTCATCAAAAATGTGATTTTTAAAAAAAAAAAAAACCTGAACAAATTTATTTTTTGTTTAATTGACCTTCGATATTGACATTGACTGAGAAGCTTTTTTGATTTGACCAAATTAGATGCATTTCAATTTATAAGCAACATTCAAAAACATTTTTTTTTGTTGGAACGTTTAAATTATAACAACTTTAAGAATAGGTCAAACTATGACATAGAACTAGTTTATCAAGAACCTTTTTTTTAATTCAAAAATTTTCAAAAAATTAATTTCTTTTTATATCAAACAAATTTTTCTCACTTTTCACCTCTTTTTAATTATGTTTTGAATTTTTTGCTTTAAAATCTAAAACTATTTAAATATTTTAAAAAATATATAGAAATATGATTAAAATTCGCGACTGTTACCGCAGAGTTAATAACATTGAATAAAAAAAATGCTGAGTTCAACATTAAGAACTGCTTTTATTGCTTTACACTGACTGTTTTCTGTGAAGCCGGTGTTTATTTCAAACATTTTCATCATTTTTTTAAGAGGCTTGAAAACGTTCAAGCAATGAGAAAAAACATTTTAAGAGAAAAAAAATGAATTTGTTATATTTTGAGAGTAAAAATTGTTTGAATGCGTTTTGAGTTGATTTAAGTCAAGTTGAAGAAAAATTAATTTTTTTAATTTATGCAATTTTTTGGGTTAAAAATGTTTTGGATTGGTTTTAAGAACAAGATGCATTTGGAGTCTTCAAAATAGTTAAAAATTTAAAAACAAAAACATGTTAAATCTCGATACTTTTAACATCAATTTGTTAACAGGTGTCTCAAAATAAATCTTTTTTTGCTCTCAAAATGTAAAAACTAAAGATTTTTCTCTGAGAAGCTTTTCTCAATGATTTTTCCAAATTGTTTTTAAAAAACTGAAATTTTTTTATTCCTTGAAAATGTTTTCAGATCAATACCGATCGGTGAAGAATCGACACTGAAAATTTTAATTCGAAAAAATAAAGTTTTATCAAATTTAAATATTTATTTCATTCTTAATCAAATCTAAAAGGTTAAAAAAGGAATATTGACAAAAACTTAAAGTACACGAATATAATTGCAATTTTTAAGTAAAAAATTAATAAATTGGTGCTTTTAATTTAGTGAAAAAAACTTTAAAAATTTTAAAAAAGTTTTAAAAAAGATTGATTTAAAGTTGAATTATAAAAGTGAAAAAATAAAACATTTCCAATAATTTTAAACAAAAGTGAAAACAAAAACTGCATAAATGAAATTTTAGTTTCAGAATTCATATTTAAAAAAATCAGAAAACCGAGTGAAAGAAATTTTCCACAGTATTGAATACACTTCCGAAAAATATTTGAAACGGGAGCAATGAAATATTTCTATAAATTTAACATAAACAAAAATTTTCACTTAAATTGAACTATAGAAGCAAACAAAACGAATTTGAAGTACAATATCCAATAAAATATGTGAAAAATGACTGTTCAGTTGTGAAATAAAAAGAACAATAAAAGTTTATAAAAATTTGCAGCGAACTATTCTCAGGATTTTAGTTGCATGTCCTTTAAAGCCTTTGATACAAAAATATGAGAAATTTCCAAACGAATCTCTTAAAAGCCTTCAAATGAGCTCCGCCACATCAAAAATGAGCATCAGAAAATTTTGTTGCTGTTTTAGTTTAGAATTTGGTGCATTTATGATTGGAATTGTTCGACTAATTTGGGCGTGCATTGATGGATTTGCCAAAATCACTGGAGGATTTACTCTTTTGTTTAATGAATGTAAGTTTTTTTACTTTTCCTCCTCCTGGGTTCAAATTGGTCTATCATTGGCTGTTAACTGGTCAGAAATGAGTAGCAGAATTAGCGAAAGTGTCTTGATAGCTCAGTTGGCAGGGCACAGGTCACAAAAATTGGTGTAGATTTTGGACTCTCGGGTTTGAATTCCACCACCAGCCTAGTGATTTTTCAGAAGTTTAAATACTTCGGCTTCTTAGGCGCAGCACCCTAACAGACAAGTGAGTATACTCATGGTACCGTAACATACTCAAGAGTATGTTCAGAATATACTCTTGAGTATGTTACGGTACCATGAGTATACTCGTTTGTCTGTTAGGGGCAGTTTAAGACGTAGAACTAAGAATTCGGCAATGTGAAATGTAGGAATGGGTCAAGAATTATGAAGTCATAATGAGAAGATACGAGAGCCATAAATTCACCTTGAACTTCAAGGCTTGAAGGGTTTTTACTGAAACGGACCTAGAGACATTGTGACTTACTGAAAATTGGAACGATAGCTGACATGAACACTAGATCTAAGATCTTAAGATTTTTTATTGGTTGCTGTACACAAAACTGCTTAGTGAAGATTATGCGCTACACACTGAGCTAGCGTACATAATAAATATTTAAGAATTAATATTACACAATTTAAGATGAATAAATTGAATTGAATTGACAGAGGCAGAGCTAGAAGGTGCCTTAGGTAACACGCACCCAAATTCTTGAAAGATCCTTGCTACGCCCCTGATCAGTGATCATATCAATTCTAGCAATAAAACAGTCTTGTGGTCTATTTTGTATAGAATTGAACTAGAAAACACGAACATTTTAATTTTTAAAATCTCTTAAAAATTGAGAATAAAATCAAAAGTTTCGTGTTTTCTAAATTCTTAATAAGAATCACTCCATGCAGATTAATTCGCATAAAATAATCACGCATTTACGTTAATTTCACACTCTTTTACGACCTCCGCACAAAAATCTAACTTTTAATTTACATTACAGATCAAAATAAAGCAGACGCAATTCGATCAATTTATTTTGGAATTTATATACTTATGGCCTATGGATTAAGTTCGGCGTTGCTTGTGTCTGGCGTTTTAAAGGTGAGAAATGAAACTCAAAAAAAAAAAAGGAATTTATGTTTTCGATAAATGAAGAAAATTGATGACTGTGTTACTGAAATTTTTGTGGCTTTTTGAATTGAAATTGCGATTTATTTGGACGATTTGAGGCGAAAATTGAAAATTTGCAAGACGTGTTTATGAGAATTTAAAAAAGTTTTTTCACCTCTTTTTTAAAGAAATAAGAAAAATTAATTTTAAGGACATAAATGCAATTTGATATGAAATTTCTAATCTATAGTTGGGGGCTTAGTTGAACTGAAGATAATATGATCTTTAAGCCGGCGTAATAATATTTCTAATGTTACATGTCGTTTCAAATTACAAACAGTAAAACATTATAAAATTCCAATTTTTGTTTAAATTGCGTACTTCATTTCATACCTCAACTATAGTGAATTTAATTTCCTTAATAAAAACAACTAAATTGAAATCGTTTGAAGTTGAGACTTCCAGCTGAGATAACCCTGACCTTCGAGAAAAGGAAGACATTTAGTCGTTGGGGAATTCTTTTAATTTCAAAAGAACGCACACAAATGAAAAAAAAACACACATTCACATGAGTATAAAAATTAAAAATAAACAAATAATAGAAATTTCATCATAAACTCGTCTATAAGTTCCAAATCTAAACATTTCAATTGAAACAAATTTTTCTACTTACAAATAATTTCACACCATATTAACTCCATCAATTTTCACTTTTCTTTGTTTAATTTTCCTTCTCTTTATAACTATTTTTTTTATTTTCACACCAAAATAGCGTCAGGTGGAGTCAATACAGTGCTATCGATACACAGCACGCACAACTACATGCATCTTGTTCATAATATCCCTTGCGATTATCATCAGAATGAGATCGATGGTGAAAATGTTTACAATTAGTGATGCGGTACTGATTCTGCTATACACAGCAGTTGAGATTTATAGTCTGTATATTGTTGGGTCACTTTATGATCAAATAAAGGGTAAGAAAGTTATTACGAAAGAGAAGGAGCCTAGTTACGATGTGACGCCGATGGACTTTGAAAACTTTGTTTAAAAGTAATTTAAATTCAATAAAGATGTTGATCATGTGCTTTAAATATAAATCATTCAAATTGTAATTAAAAATCTGTATGCAAAATATATAAATATTGTAAAAAGAAATTAGCAATAAATTAAATTTAACTATTTTTTGAGCTTTTCTGGTGTGTCAATTAATATTTTGAATGATTTTGTAAATTTAAAAATACCAACAATCGGACAAGGAAAGAAAAAAGAATCGATTTAATGGCATTTCACAAATAAAGTTCAACTTACGATCCCGGTAAGCCAGTGCCAAAGTCGCACGCAGAATGCAGCTTGCATCATTTACAAAAATTTTCCACGGCACACAATTCGGACAACCGTAGTCTAAAGTATAATATGCCGATTTGAATTAAAAGATATTGCACACTTCGTGGAATCAATCAAAATCGGTCCATGTTTAATGACAATTTCTTAGAAATTTCTTTTAATTGAATCTAAACTGACTGAACATTTTTGAGTGAATTCTGAAAACAATTTATTTTTTTATCTTAATCAGAATAAACTAGAGTTGAAGCTGCCGTTACAGTTGTGAACTGACAAAATAAGCGCATTTTCGTCGCGTAGATCCTGAACACAAATTTTTCGGTTGAATGGGGTTTGACCTCCTTTATTTTGTGCTATAAAATTGCGCATTTGTTATGTCATAAAATTGATGCTATTCATCAACGATTTTTATTTTTTGTTCATTTTAGTCCCTGGTTTTCTTAGCGTAATTAATAATTTCCTCAGTTCTACTGTAATGTGGGTTTTTTGGCTAAGGTACTCCGAATAGCACGAGTCGGTTAATCGAATAGAAATCTAGCGCTTCGATTTAAATCCAGCACCATGCTAGAGTCACATCGGCTTGGTGCCGGATTGCTGATAGATTAACTGATTGTTGCCATTCGGCTACTATATTGATTTTTTTGCTACTCAATACTATATTTTTATATTAATTTGTTCCAAACAAAATTTTCATTTTTGATTGACCAAATGGAAACATGACATTTTTATCTTTTGTTTGAATCATGAAAACAGTTTTTACCACGACCATCGCAAAAGATTGATTCATTTGTAATAGAGCTTTCTAACAGTCTAGACGTTTTATGAAAATAATAATTATATTTTTTTACTACCTTTTATTTATTATTTTTTCAGCATCTTGTGAAAAATATTTAAAACCATTAAACTACGATACAGTTTCTTCTAAAGCATTTCGCGATATTGTTGATGAGTTTTTTGCTAAAAACCAGATCCAGTTTGACGTAAAAATAATTCAAAATAGTGACAAATATTTAAGTGCTTTTTATGATACAAGCTTATCCACGATACAAGAACTAGGTTTATATCAATTAAGTCTCTGGAATAAAGATTCATATAAATTAACATCGATCAATTCTTCAGTCATATTTTTTGTGAATTCATGTCAAGACTACACTAGAGCGCATGAACCAGAGTTGCTTAATGCATTTCCACAAGAATTAAAATTTCTTTTTTTAATCGAAAATTGCGGTTTAAACTTCATCATTGATGATATTGGCAATATTCTTTCGGTTAAAAAAGTCCTTCCTATTAATGGAAGGATTGAAATGTATGAATATCTGCTTATCATTGAGGAAAATTTCATTTATCTTGCAACAATCGAGTTTTTCACTGCTGTAGCATGTAATGAACCACAAGTGATAGTTTTAAATACATTTGACAAAACCACACAAAATTGGAATAAAAACTTGCAGACCTATGAACAATTCCAGAATTTTTTCGAATGTCCAATAGAACTAGCATTTAATAAATCAGATATGAAATCTTGCTGGGCTAAAGAACAACATTCAAATCAAAATATTAAAGCGGACGGAATAATACCGGAAATTTTTAAAATTACATCAGAAAAATTTAATTTTTTGCCCTTTATTAACTACAAACAATTGAATGAAGTTGATGCATACATTCTAATGTCAAGGTTTTCAGAAGAAAGTTTTTGGATGCATTCAACAGCAACATTTTCAATGGACAAAGAAGTAATTGTAACAACACCTGGAGAATTGTACACATCATATGAGAAGCTTACACTGCCTTTTGATAATGCAACCTGGAAGTTATTACATATAACATTTATAGTTACTTTCATTGCTATATTTGTAGTTAACAGGCTGCCAAAGTTCATCCAGAGTCAAGTTTATGGTGAAAATAATAAACATCCAGCACTTAATGTCATCAGCACATTTTTTGGTATTTCACAATACAAGCTACCATTAAGTCACATCCCACGATTTGTTCTCATCTTGTTTGTCTTCTTCTGCTTGATTTTTCGAACTTGCTATCAGAGTAAATTGTTTGAGTTCATGACAGGCGAACCAAGACGTCAACCACCAATGAGTATTGAAGAATTAAAAGACAAAAACTATACAGTTTTTTCATATTTGAGCTCATTTTTTATAAAAACTTTATTAGAAGATGAGTTTTCAAATTGGTGAGTCAAAATTTTAATTTTAACCAGAGCTCGAAGTCGATAAGGTTCGAATTGGCTCGAGTTGACTCGACTCAACTTCATTTTTTTCTAGTCGACTCGAGTCTCGTCTCGAACCAATTTTTTCGGAGTCAACTTCTTTATACAAACAAAAAATTAACTTATACTTACTTAAACTGTTTTGACGATTGACCACATCTTTACTAGTTTCTTCTGGTTTTTTTTTTGCAGGCCAGATGTTTATCTAATCAAGCGAAATTCTGTGAACTATATTCTTAAAACACAAGCTCAAAATGCATCAGCCAAAATTGCATTAATTGTTCCTTCATCCACTTTAAAAATTTTTTATTCCAAATTTAATGATAAATGGCATGAACTTCCAAACTATGTTGTTCAAACTTTTCATTTTGGATTTATGTTCTTAAAGAATAATTACTTATATAAGCATGTCAATAAAATTACCCAACAGTTTATATCAGCAGGTATATTGGATAATATGATTAAAAAATGCTCAAACTTGCATAAGGTTGGAAGTAGTGACAAAAAATGGATTGTTTTGACTTTAGATAGTTTAGAGTTTGGATTTGTTATATGGATTGGATGTTGTGTTTTGTGCACTTTTACATTTATTAGTGAAAAATTAGTTTTTAATTTTAAGATTTTGTTGAATAAATTTAAAACATCTAAAACTACAAAAATGGGACTGAAAAAGACAAAATTTGCTAAAATTCATCCCCAAATATTAGATTCCAAAACTCATGAGAACAAGTTTGTTGCCAACTTGAGAAAAAATAATGTTTTTCATATGAAAAGAGTTAAAATGAACTCAAATCGCAATAATATCACTTTATTCAACCTAAATCAGTGATATCCAGCCTGTGTGATTCAATTTCTCTTGTTTTGAACATTACAAAATTAATAAAGTTCAGTTCCTTTCTGTTGGTATGAATTCCTTTGAAATTCTAATTTTTATTTATTGTATCATAGATAATTATTTATAAACAAAAAAGTCAATAAAAACTACACATTTGAGATTTTTGTTTGATTAATTTATTCCCCTAAACAAGTCTCTAAATATCCATACTATTAATTATTAAAAATAAACTTAACATTCGCTCCAAAATGACATTCTATCAATAACTTTCAATTTATAAGTAAATGGTTAGACATAAAGTATTTTAAAGCCAAATCACAAAGTTCATTTACAATCATTTTAGAAAGTTTAGAAAAAATTATGAAATTGTTGACAAGTTTGTCTGTTTATTGCATTTGGATTACATTTTGTAACTCAATTTTGATTCCAATTACTGAAATATTTTTAATTCGAAAAGCAATTCACGAAATTGTTTATGAATTTTTAACCAAAAATCAAATTCAATTTGACATTTTAATTTTTCAAGAATCCATCCAGAATGACTTTATCAACCAGATGCTTTCTGAAATTCAGTATGAGAATGCATATCAACTTGGTTATGTGACTTCAAATATTAATAAAAAGATCAGCATAGAAACTTCCACATTTTTTATGCTTGACTCTTGCATGGATTATGCTTCAATTCACTTTAAAATTAGTTTAGATAATTATTTCAAAAAATACCTACGATTTTTGATTTACATTCATGATTGTGGACTGGAATCCATTTTAAATAACCTCAAAGAACTTATTCCAACACAAAAGCTTTCATTCATGCAAAGTAAAATGGAAGTCTTTGAATTTTTACTCATAAATGATGGAGATTTTCTTTATGTTGCGACAATTGAATGGTTTACAGAAGCAACTTGCAACGAGCCACAATTAAAAGTTTTAAATTCATTTAATAAAATTACACAAAATTGGAATAAAACATTAGAAAATTATGAAAAGTTTCAGGACTTTTATAAATGTGAATTAAAATTAGGCTTGAATATAAACGATGGATTTATTTGCTGGGGTTCCATGAAACCAGTTAGCAAGAATCAAAAAATAATAGAAACATTTGGGGTAATACCGGAAATGTTTCAGATTATTTCAAAATTATACAATTTTCAAGCTGCAGTCAGTACAAGCAATGAAATAAATGACGTGGATGTGTACGTTGATATGAAAAGAGTATTAGCAATATCTGAAAGCTGGTTGCATATGACATCAACATTTTTGGAAGTTCGTGACATGATTGTAACTACTCCAGGCGAGCTTTACACACCGTATGAGAAACTTTGGTTACCTTTTGATGAAACGACATGGATTTTACTTTTGTCAACATTTTTGTTGGCATTTATTTGCATTTTTCTAGTCAATTACATGCCAAAGTTCATCCAAAAGCGAATATTTGGTGAGAGTGTTTCAGCACCAGCTTTAAATGTCATGAGCTCATTTTTTGGGATTCCACAAAACAAGGTCCCGATTAGACACATTCCTCGATTTATTCTCATCATGTTTGTCTTCTTTTGTTTAATTTTTCGAACTTGTTATCAAAGTAAGTTGTTTGAATTCATGACTAGTGCACCAAGACATCTACCACCTAATAGTATTGAAGACTTGAAGAATAGAAATTATACATTATATTCGAGTCTTGGAAAATCTTATTTGCAGCCATTTCTTGAAGATGACACCGCTTGGTAAGTTTTATGATTTATTTCATTTTTAGCGCATTTTTGAAACTTGTTTCTAAAAGAAAGCTTAATAATTCACTTTGTTCAGCTGCTCGGGCGAAAAAAATCTTTTAAACTATGCATCGTAACGAGCTCGGGTTTGTTTTATTAGCTCGGTTCAATCGAGTTATTGACTGACCGAACAGTTAAAAGTCTTAAAACAGTGTATTTATACTTTAATTAATGATTGTTTATTACATATGTAAATCAAGTGATGGGTGCGTTCAGAAATTTGATTTTTTTCTACCGTTGCACAATGATTCAGATTTGAAAAAAATGTTCAAAAATTCAAAAATAACAAGTTAATTAAACTATATGTTTTAAATGCCAGATTAAAGAACATGATGTGTTTTATGTTCTGTAAAAATATCACATTCCAATTTGTTGTCTAATTCACAAAAATTCGATTTTAAGATGCCAATAAATTTGTTTACAAAATGACAACAAATATTTTTCTTAAATTTTTTCTCCTTTCCACTTCAAATTTCTTGTTTTAATCCTGATTACCAGCTTAATTAAGCTTAGTACTTTGTGTTTGTGTGAAGAAACCAAAAGAAAACCTATTAATTGGGCGAATATACATGATTAATTTTTTTGAAATTTACCAAGACTTTAAACACTCATAAGTTAAATTCGCGTCTTTCCGCTTCTACCAAACCTATTTAAATATAAAGAACAAAGTCTAATTAACCTTCCATATTAATGTGTACATGCCCAAATATGCCCGAAGCGAGATATTTGCGATTGAAAATTAGTTAATTTTTCATACAAATTACTATCGTGCGCCAAATTTTTTGATAAACATTTGTGAAATTTGTAAAAAAAAACTTATTTATCCTCAATTTCATGACTTAATATTTTGAGGAATCAATAATCAAGTAAGATTAAAGGCATTAAAAGTCCTAAACTAGAGAATATCAATAAAAAATTTCATTACTTCAATGTGTCTGAAAAATATTATGCACAAGGATTATTTGAACATTTTTTTCAAATCTGAATCATTGTGCGTTGTAAAAATTGTAATCAGATTGCGTTCGGAAATTTGAATTTTTTTTAATCGGTAAAAAATTTGAATTCCAAAAAAACCGTTATATTATAAAGACCGTCATATATTATACAAGAATTCATTGTAACTATTTGTTAATTACACTAAAATTAATGATCTTTTTATGATCTGTAAACGAACGCAAAATAATTGAAAATAAAATACTGATCGCTGCATCAAAAATGCGCTTAAGTTTTTCGATCAATAACACGAGGACTTTTGTAATTTTCTTTCTTTCTTTTTCTACAGGCCTGATGTGTATATAATCAGCGAAGAATTTTTTTCTTACTTGGTAAAAACACACGCACAAAAATCATTTGCTAAAGCAGCATTCATTGTTCAGTCAACGGTTCTTAAAATGTATTATCTTCAATACAGTAACATGGGAAATTGGCACAAAATACCTGACTTTAGTATTCAAGTAAGTCATACAGGATTTTGTTTAACACCAAATAATTTCATGTTTAATCCATTTGATAAAATCACTCAAATCCTAACATCAACAGGAGTTATGAATCATATGATTCAAAGATGTTTTGATAATAGAGGAAATTTTATTATTATGAAAAAATGGTCAGTTTTACAGCTTGAAAGTTTAAGTTTTGGGTTTGTAATTTGGGTAGCTAGCTGTGGAATTTGTTGCATTGTATTTTTAATGGAAATTTTGATATCAACATTTGTATGTAAAACTCAAGATTATGAAGTAAACAATGTACAGGCTAAGAAGATAAAATATGAAAAAGTTCACCCAAAATAATAAAAAAAAAATTATGTCATTTTATGAGATATTTGTAGGCGTAATAAAAAAAACTCAATCGAAAATTTTTGCTGCTTTATTTTAGCTTCCACGCAAAAGCGTGTAAAAGGACTCATTTTCAAAAATCTCAAAGGGTACCAAAAATAAAATTAGGAGGCCGGACTTTTCTGTAAATAAACTTTTACAATTGGACATCATCTATGCCTTCAAAATGCCAAAAAACTTCTTTTTGGATTTTGAAAATTTTTTCGCGTTCGGGCGAAGAACTAGGGTAAATGACCTTGAAATTTGCGCAAATTCACACAAGAAAATTTCATTTGCTTCAAGCTCTTCGGAGGATTGAAATTGAGCCCTACTAACGATCTTGAAATGCAGGGAATCATTGATATTTTTGTTTTTCTATGGAAATAGGAAGCTCTGCTGTATCAATGCCAAGAAATTTGACTTTCAAGTTTGAACTTTGAAATTTGCGCAGAAAACTTTGAAATTTGCGCAAAAAAACCTTGAAATTTGCGCACTTTTTTGACAGCAATATTGAAACTTGGAAAAAATATTGTTGAAACCATATCCAATTTTAAAATACATTAATCAAAATATAAGGGAAATGATGATGTATATTACCAAATTATATGATTAGATTTAGTTTCGTGAAAATCCGTGAAAGCTTAATGTTCAACAGGACAATCTTAGATGTATTAGGAGCAAATTCCAGCGTGGAAAAAAAAACACTAGATAAATGGTTTCAAAATAGTTCAAAAGCACATAATAAATTCAAAAAGGAACAACAAGCAAAATGATGTATCCATAGTAATTCAATTTTAAAATTTAGTATAAAGTCTAAAAGCTATCTTCATTTTATTGCCTTTTTTGGCCAACCACGTTTCCTGATTACTTGAGTTGATGCTTCATGTTTTTCCTTTTTAATATTCATAATTTTGTCACGCAATTCTTTCTTTTTTTCTCGGTCAATTCATTTTTGAGCTTTCATATCCTCAAGTTCCTTTAATTTTTGAGCAGTTTCCTTCAAATCTTCTGTAGTTTTTGGATCGCCTTATTTGGCTGAATCTATACACCACTTTGCAATTTTGACTTCTTCTTCAGTTGTAAGGACCTTTATCTTTCACTGCGCAAATTTCAAAATTTTTCGTAAAATCTGCGCAAATTTCAAGGTTCAAAAACAAGCCATTTTAAAAATGAATTTTAAAGCAGTTCCAGGTATCATTTTGAATTGGAACCATTTGAAAAATGTTAAACAATGTCAGATCTACATTTTCTGATACCAAAATTTAATCTATACCAATGCATGCATCTCAAAATCAAAATGTAAAGAAATTTAAGTTTTGTATGGGAGTTTTTGGTAATAAATTATTAGGCTTTCTAGTGCCTTAAGACCACTAAAAATTATGAAAAAACATCTGTGCTTGTGTTCTGCAGACATTTCCCATTGATCGTCTGAATAGAATTGCAATTTTCAGATATAATTTTAAAATTTTCGTTTTCATACGAGTGCGCAAATTTCAAGGTTGCGCAAATTTCAAAGTCATTTACCTTAATTTTCAAAATAAACTTAAAATATCTGAAGGTTTAATTTTTTTTGAAGTTCTCGAGATAATAACATAGCTTTCGCGAATGAAAAAAAAATTCTAAAGATATTAGAGTTTTAATATTTAATTATATTTTCCTGACTACTTTACTTAAAATTCAGTTTGAGATGTTTGTAACTTTTCAATTTCTGTGAAAAGTATCCTTTCACAAACATTGAAAGCATCTGTCAACGACTTAAAGATTTGTTTTTTTTTTCTTGTAGATTTCTCATCTTAAAAAAATTAGACAAAACACATAGTACTTTAAGATAATATTCTTATTTGGCAACTTTTTTGTTATCTAACGTAAGTCAAGCGTGGAAGTTCGTGGCTTTCTACCTTTAAATTCCTTTTAACAAGACTGGAGCTAGAAACTTTTCGAGATTTTTGATTTGAGTTGGGTTACTTAAGCCTTTTATTTCATCAAACGAGAGCAAATTTTGTGTTTGACTCTAGTTTTAATTCAAGCTATGGTTTATTTTAATTTACATAAGCTTTCTCGATACCCTGTTCCCGTGTTGCATCACATTAGCTTTCATTAAAGCATTCTTGTTTAAGCATTATTCTAAGGAATAATGAAAACAAAAGAAACAAAAAAAAATTAAATATGGAGCAACTCTGGACATTTTTTGACAACCGTATTCTTGGAATAATGTACATAAATAACATAAAAAATAATCTATTAATAAAGACACGTTAAAACATATTTGAAATGACATGTAATTAGACTCAAAATATAAAGATGATCTTATTGCTGTTCGTTAATTAATTCCTTTGTGTTTTAATCAACTTACAACTTAATTTTTGATCTACAAGTTTAACAGCATTTTTAAAACAAAAAAACCTTCAAAAATATAAATAAGTTTAATTTATTCACCATAAACAGTAAGACAAAGAAGAAAATTTAATGAATTTGAAAAAAATTATTCATTTTTCCTTCATTTTTATTATTTTTTGTGAAAACATATTTACACCGTATCGGAAAAATCTTATAGCAGAATCAAAATCTTCTGCAATTATAAGAGCAATGTGTGAAATTATTAATGAATTGTATGTAAAAAATCAAATTCAATTTGACGTCATAATTATTCGAGAGACATCGGAACAGTCAAGTAACATTCAAAATGAAGTTTTAGCTACAATAAAGGAACAGAACTCATATAGACTTTATTCTTGGATACCAAATCCTAAACTTATATTTGGAATTTTTTCGTCAACACTTTTTTTCGTAGACTCCTGCCTTAGTTATGCATCAATCCATTTTACAACCACACTGGAAAATCATTTTCCAAATAATCTTAAATTTCTTATATATATTGACAACTGTGATTTAAATTTACTAGCTGAGAACATTAAGGATATCACTAACGTAAAAAAAATTTCATTTTTAAAAGGCCAACTAGAAATGTATGAATTTCTTCTCATTAATGATGAAAATATTATTAATTTGGTGACAATTGAATGGTTTACAGTAACTGCTTGCAATGACCCACAACTAATAATTTTAAATTCATTTAACAAAACCACTCAAAAATGGGACAAAAAATTAAAAATTCATGAAAAATATCAAAAATTTCATGAATGTGAGCTCAAATTAGGTTTAATTACAACAAATACAAACTTATGCTGGGGATCAAAGAAGCCACACGATATTAAAGCATATGGAATTATACCAGAAATGTTTGAAATTGCATCAAAAATGGCAAATTTTAAACCTTTCATAAGCAATACTAACGACGTAGAAGATGTTGATGTGTACATTGATGTAAAAAGAATTTCAACTTCACTTCTTGGTTTTGTACACTTTACATCAACATTTTTGGAAATTAGTGATGTCATTGTTGCTACGCCTGGAGAACGTTACTCATCTTATGAGAAACTTTGGCTACCTTTTGATGGCACGACATGGATCTTGTTGATTTTGACATTTTTAATGGCTTTTATTGGCATTTTTGTGATTAATCGAATGCCAATATTTATTCAGCAAAGAGTTTACGGTGAAAAAAATCAGACGCCAGCAATAAATGTCATTAGTGCATTTTTTGGTCTAGCACATTATAAACTACCAATGAGACACATTCCACGGTTCATTCTCATCATGTTTATCTTCTTTTGCTTAATTTTTCGAACATGCTATCAAAGTAAACTTTTTGATTTTATGACGAGTGAGCCGAGACGACCACCACCAAAGTCTATATTAGATTTAAAGGATAAAGGTTATAAAGTTCTGTCACATCTTCCAGAAGAATTTCTTACATCCCTACTCGAAGATGATGAGTCTGTGTGGTATGTTTAATTTGAACAATTAATTAGAAAACTTAATTTCAAATATTCTTATAGGCCTCCTGTGCAAATAGTTGATGAAGATATATTGAGTATTTATTTGCAAACATATTCCCAAAACGCAACAGCAAAACTGGCACTAATTATACAATCAATGACTCTTGATCTTTATTATATTCATTATGGAGATCATGGAAAATGGCATAAGATACCCGATTATACATTTCAAGTCACTCAAACAGGATTTGTTATTGCTGCAAATAATTTCATGTTTCAGATTTTTAATCAAATCACACAAAGGCTTACATCAACAGGACTAATGAATCACATGGTTCAAAAATGCTTCAACTTTCAGAAAAATGAAAGTGAGTTACGAAAATGGTCAATTTTATTCTTGGAAGATTTGGAATTCGGATTTTTTATTTGGCTTGGATTTTGTGGAGTGTGTTGTGTTATCTTTATTGCAGAGTTGTTGACTTTGAAACTATTGTGCTTATTTAAAAGATTAAAAATTAAAAATAAAATTTTAAAGTTAAAAATTGTAATTATGAGACAAACTGTTAAAAGAAGAACCAAACGAAATGTTAAAGCAAACAAAATAAGATTAAATAAGAAATTGAATAAAAAGTTAATACATTTAACAAAATAATTATAAGATGCTATAAAAATATAAGAAGAGGACGCTTATTTATTTTTAAAGCTTTAACTTCTAGAGCCCGTTTTCTGGCTTATCATTGTTTGGTCAATGAGGATCGCAAGTATGACTTCCTACCTGTAAATCTTTCAGATTTTATATTTGGTTTGGATGCATTGTTTTATTTTACGAAGATATATTTGGATCTTTACAAGAAGGACTTATGATCATCTAGCAGAAAGTAATTCCTAGGAATTTTACATAGGTTTCTAGGAATTCCTAGGCATTACTAAAATAGTACTAAGAAATTCGAGTACTAGGAACCTCGTTTTTGAAACTGGAAAGAGTTAAAGTATAATAAAGAAATAAGAAATTTTTGAAGCTTTTTTTTTAAATTTCTTCTGAATAACATAAAAGATGTGAGATTTGCAATTCTATAATTTTTAATTTAAATCTACTCATTTAAAATAACACAATTTGTTGACAAGCTATTTTAAAAAAAATTCTGAGCATTTTCTAATCGTTTCTTTTAAATGAATTATGATTACGTATTAAAAATGTCTTAGAGGCCATTCACTTATTACGTAACGCTTTTAGGGGGAGGGGGGGGGGTCTAAGATTTTGTTACGGTTCAAACAAGGAAATTTTTTTTTCATACAAATTTTGTTACGAGGGGGGGGGGTCTAAGAAGTCATTTTTTCGCGTTACGTAATAAGTGAACAGCCCCTTATTAATAACTGCAGTCTATTTATTTCAAAAAAAATTTTTTTTGGTATATTGCATCTTCACACTAAATAATTTTTATGGTCTTTTTTAAAGACATTATTGAAATACAACTTATATGTTTTGATAAAGGCAAAATTTTAGAGCTGTTTGCTTATTGATTCACATTTTGATGCTTGTAAAATACTGATCGCTAACACAAAAATGCGCTGAAGTCCCTCGATCAATAACCCGAAGACTTCTGTAACTTTTTCCTATCTATTCTTCCTCTCAGTTCAATTGTTCAATTTAATTTACCATCTAAACTGCTTGTCTTGAATTGATTTATGGAAATGAGTTAAATATAATGTATAGTTACTGTCATGCTTATAAGTTCTGGTCATTACCTTAATGTTAATCACATCTATAATGGTTATCATACTGCTAATTTTGAAAAGTTTTCCATTACAGGCACTAATTACTCGAAAAAAGTTTTTTGAACTCTTCACAATCATTTTTCATTTCCATGCAAATGTCCACAATTGCTCTGCTTCTTTGCCTTAAAAGAAGCTGATACTCATCAGCATCTCTGAACAGATGTTCATTTTCTCTTTATATGAGATATGAGAATGAAGTTCCACCATATGTCGATAGGAAATACGTAAGAATATCAAACAGCATTAACAACTTGCATGACAAAATTCGTAAGAGGAATAATAAAAATTTAGCAGTGAGCTTTTTGGAATCGCAAATATCAAATCTTGAAGATTTGTTAAGACAGCATGCTAATATGAAGGCAAATTTGTATTACTCAAATGTAATCCAGAATAATAGATCGTTCTCATGGAACATAATTAATGAAATCACCGGCCGCTCAAAAAAGGATGATGATTTAGTGATACAACAAGATAATATGGTGATTTATGATCATAAAGAAATCGCAAATGCTTTCCAACAAAGGTTTACCGAATTTGGGTCTATTTCACCACATCAACTGTCTATGACTTATTTAGGAGAACCACTTTTAAACAGCATTATAATAAATCCAGTGACTGATAATGAAATAGCCATTTTGATGAATAATTTATCATTAAAGAAAGCAATTGGAAGTGACGGAATTCCTATTAAAGTATGGAAAGATAACATTGACACTTTAGCTCCAACTCTGACTGTATTAGTAAACGAAATGATTTATAGTGGAATTTATCCAGATGTGCTAAAAATCGCGGCCATTAAGCCAATTCATAAGAAAGGAAGTGTAATGGAAATTGAGAATTATAGAGGGATTTCTCTTCTTCCGGCAATCAATAAGGTTGTTGAACGAGTAATTTATGATCAAATTGAGAATTTCATCATCAAATATAAGCAATTTGACGAGCTACAATTTGGATATCGGAGGCACTTTGGTACACAGGATGCACTCTGTAAGCTATACAGTACAATCTCCAAAGCATTGGACAAAAACAAATATGTTGTCGCTGTATTTTTTGATATATCTAAAGCGTTTGACAGCATCAATCATGAGCTACTGTTGTATAAGCTTGAGAAAATGGGTATTCGAGGAATAGCACTTAGTTTAATAAAAAGTTATCTTACCAACAGGCAGCAATATGTAAAGATCATGGATAAATTGAGCGAAATCATGGAAATTCTTTTTGGGATTCCTCAAGGTAGCTGTCTAGGTCCATTGTTATTTGTACTGATGCTCTACGACCTGAAATTTGTTGATACTGACTCTTTGATACTAAAATTCGCAGATGATATCGTGATGGTGCTTACTTGTGATAATTTAGAAGACATTCCAGGTGCTATAAATAAAGATATGGATAAAGTTAAGAAATATTATGAAAGCAACGGACTCAAATTAAATGGTAATAAGTCAAAGTATATGAAATTTGGATTCACAGACTATAAAGACTTAGACGATTTAATGCGAATCAATGGAATTGAAAAAGTTGAGTCAATTAAGTACTTGGGAGCAATTGTGGATAGTAAATTAAGAATGACTGAGCATGTAAATCACCTAGTCAAAGCAATCTCTCAGTCTTTGAACGCAATGAATGTCATCAAGAAACACTTACCATCTTATTCACTTATGCAATTCTACAATGCCTTCATAGGCTCTCATATGTTTTGTAACGGTTTCTTAGTATGTCGAATGAGTGCTGGAGATATCAACAGACTGCAGACTATCCAAAATAAAGCGTTAAAAACAGCATATGGACTTGAGCGAAGATTTTCAACTGAAAAGTTATTTAGTGAAGTGGCTATTAATGTCTTGCCGGTTAAAGGAATAGCATTTTTTAACTTACTGCTGTTGACTAAAAAGTACATCCTAACGAATAATGACGAATTTGAAGTGATTTTGGATGGCCGTCGAAAAGGACAGTTGAAATTTCCAAGATTCCGAAAAGTACTTGCCAATGATCTCATCTGTGTTGGTCCAAAAGTTTTCAATCAGCTGCCTCTAGAAATAAGACAAATCAGAGGATATAATCTTTTTAAAAAGAAATTAAAAACTTTTTTACTGGAGAATAAATTAATTTTCCTGAGGGGTAATCAACTAGACGTAAACAACATGTTTAATCAGCGTAATCCTTGAGATGTTAAAATGAGATACGAAATTTCAAATTTTAATGAGCTGTTTGAAGTTCTTTTGAAATGTTTTTTTTTTTTTCACAATTTAATTATATAGAAATTGAAACTTGATACTTACCAATTGTACGCGTGCGTACACTATTTAACTTAACATCACAAACACTTAAAAGTGTAAAACTTAATTATCATTGTTACTTAAACTATTACTTGTATCCTAAAGTTTCCTAATTATCATAATATTTTTATATTTTTATATCACTAGCTTTTAAGCTTTTCTGCCCGAATGGGCCAATAAAAGTCAATCAATCAATCAATCTTTTTAAATCGTCATGCGTGGATTCCAAATCATTAAAAATTTCATCACTTTCTTCAACTTTTTCTTTCAATTCAAAATGGATTTCCTTCAACTCTTTAAATTCATATTGTAATTTTTGTAAATCATCCTCAAGGCTTGCAGTTGGTTGAGGACTACAATTAAAATCAATCAATAAAGATTATTACAAAAGGAATTAAAAATTACTTACTTTCTCTCTTGCATTTCCAATCGTGGATTTACGATCTGTGCCTCCCACATGAAATATTAAAATTATTCAGTTGCAAACTAGATCTCAACGTGAATAGACGTGTTTACAAATCGCTCCGCAAATTATTCAAAAATCTCAAAAGAAACAAAACAGAGACTACCTGAGAAGCTTTTTGTTTGCAAAAAGTTTCAAAATCTCAGTTTGATTCTCAAAACATCAAAATGGTAGCATCACCAAAAACTACCAACAACGAAGAAAATCTTTCTCAAAATCAGCATGGACTTAATAGTTCTCAACAACAACATTCATCTTCAGTGACAATTCTCAATATTGAGGAAATTTTCAGTGAAGATGTTTCACAAGCAGCCGACATTGAGATGACAAATCTCAAACCAAAAAAACAAATATCAATAAAGAAGTTTCTCAATGAAGCAAGTAAAGCAGAAAAACGCCCTCGAGAAGTGATAGTTCCCAACGCTCTTTTAAAAAGAGCTCTCCTTTCCTATCTCCATTATTCTTTCCCTGACGCATCTTGTCTTTTTGACGAGACATCTTGTTAAATTTTCCTGTGATTCAGCAATATCTGGCTATTTACACAGCAAATTAATTGATTCACGTTTCACGATTCACTTTTTCAATAATATAAGCAATATTTGTCAGTTCTCCTGATTAGTCTTTTGATTCCAATACAAACACACAACAAGCAAGTTTAATTTCAATTATTTTAATTTTTCGCAAATGGAAATTGTTGTTCTTTCTGAGTCAATGATTACTATTTTTATTACACGCTTTTATTATTATTACACGCTTTTATTTAACTCACACTGTTTGTATGTTTTATGCGTCAAATTTTGTAATCGTTATTTCGATCACTTCTGCTGCTCCAAACGAGCTCAAATATTTTATGCACACTTATTCTCGGTGACAATACAATATTTTAACACTTTGTAACCACAAAAATGCTTAATTATAGTACAATTTAAGTAAAACTTTTTTATATGGGAAAAAATCCAAGGTCAATGACATATAACTTTGATTTGTTTAAAATATTATGCTTGAAATGCTCAAAAGTCATTCACATGATTTATTATAGTTAAATTAATATTATTAATTATTAATTATACTATAAATTTGAACAGCTAAAGATATTCTGGTAGGACAAAAAAATTGACAAGTAATTTTTTCATGAGTAAGTGAAAATTTGAATTTTCAAAAAAACCGTTAAGCTTTAGTCCGTCACGAATTAATGCAAAATAACTATTAATATGCGATGTGCATTTAGCACACATTGATTGAGCATACATTTATGCTGTTTTAAATGTATTGCATTATTTATAACACTTCACCAACTTAATTAAATTGACTTTTCTTTTTATTAACGGCTTGACGTATTTTTTCATAACATATGAATGAAATTCATTGGATTTAAATTTGAAAAATCCGTTATAAATACGTTACATATAGATGTGATTTGCATCTTTATGTAAAAGAATCCACGCGTAATGTAGTAGGAATGGTACGGATAAACACAAAATCTTTACGATTGATTTTTAATGTTCTTTACTAATGAATGGTTTAAAAAACACAGAAAGCGCACATAATTGAAGTTCAGGACATTTTTTTGAAGAGTTTTATGTGTTTCCAGGTATGACTTAAATTATAAAAACGAATGAAAAATTTTGACAGTCGTTACTAATTACCCATTAAAAAATGGGAATATATAAAAAGTTGAACGAAACGAAGTGCACCGAAGTGGAGTTGAATTTGAATTGTTGTGGTCGAAATTCGATTAAAAGATTGAGACTAAAAAGTAGCAAATAAAAAAACGTTAAAAAAACTTTTTAAAATACACGCTTTTTTCCCGAAGACTAAAAAACAAATAACATTTTTTTCTTGAAGTTAAATCTGTTGTTAAGAATAAAAACCAAGCGACCAAAAAAGGAGCAAATAAAAAAATGTTAAAAAAAACTTTTTAAAAAACACGCTTTTATCAAAAAGACTAAAAATCAAAAACTTGAAAATAAAATAAGATCACACTTTTAGCGAATCAGGATTTTAAAAATTTTCTTGTGTCAACTAGAAATGTAACATAAATTTTTTTCAAAATATTGTAATTAAGTCCAAGAACACAACTTTCCTTTAGTGATACAATAATACAATCAACAATTCCTTATTCTATTTCTTTCAATTCTCTGAGTGAACAGATATTCACTTATTCCATTACACCTCTTATATTGTTAAAATTATTTCCCTTCGTTAGCATGTCCTTTTGCAACAGATCTGGTGTCAAACTATAAATTGCATCCTCTTCCTCATTTATTTCATATATATTTTCTCGTTGCCATAAACATTTGTATGTCATGATAATCCTTGAAGATCTATTTTTAGGCTCAGTATTTCCATATTCCACCAAGAAACGTGAAATTGCGTTGAATCCTACAATTTTATCTACCGAAATTATAACATTATCATCGAGCTTCCTCTCATGATGAATATATTTGAATAACGAGATATAGTAGAGACTTTTAGTTTTTTACATTTGATCCGTGCTGCTCTATAGAAGAGCTGTATTGTTTTTGGGCAAGTAAGGAACAGCCGTTGCATCAAAAAAGCAAAAAACTTTCATTTCTTACGAGTTTTTAGTAATAAATGTTTACTGTTACTTTTATAAAAAACTTTTAAATAAAGTTTTGCAGATTCGTCTAGCTTTGTCCTTTCAAATTAATTTTGATATTTTTATACAACAAGCAAAAATCCTGATCCATTTTTCAAGAAATGCACAGATGAATTTATGTTGTATGAATGCAATAACATAGTGGACGGTAAATTATTATATATAACTAGGCTGTTCAGGGTGCCTTAACGTTTTTAGAGGTCAATTATTAAACAAAATTTCACATGGCTTGACGAAATAAACACCCCAACATGACACCTACCTTATCAACACCCCAAGAATATTGGCTTTACACGACTTCCTTTCTAAAGTCTAGGTGAAAATTGGGCATTTATAATATCTATGCTTATAATATATACCTTTCGTAGTGGTAAAACTGGCCCCGTATTGTGTAAAACCGAAAATTTAAATGGTTTATTAAACTCTTAAATAATTTCACCATAAAATTGAGAAAACTAAAATTTACTTTTTAATGGTTATTTCGAATATAAATTTGTTTCTAGTAAAAGAAGAATTACAAATAACTTTTGTAAAATTCTATTCATCTGGAGAATCGCCACAAATTTGTTTGTCTGTATGAAATTTAAATTAAACTGGTTTTTCATTTATTTTTGAATTTTCAGATGCCAAGGACGACTGAAATTTTTGGCTCATCTGTGCAAAATTAATTCTTGAAACTGGTTTTTAAACACAATATTTTTATCCGCACTTTACTTTTTCATATTTGATTATTTTATTCAGTTTTAATTCATCTTCAGAAGAGCTTAGATTCAGAATATAAAATGGACCACTCATCAATACTTAATAAATATCCAACATACCGTGATAGTCTTATTAAGAGCTATTGGATGTATATTGAAGGTCGTCTGATGGATGACAATGCAGAAGGTTATTGGAGGGTTCATAATAAATTGTATAATTTAGATGAATTAGTTAAAAATCATCCGGGAGGTGAGGAATGGATATCAATGTCAAAGGTGAATAAATCTTTTCTAACCTGAATTTTTAAAACTATTTCGATTCCTAATTTAAGGGCACAGATATCACAGAATTATTTGAATCACATCATATTTCCCCAACAGCATCTTATTTATTGGAAAAATACTACATTAAAGATGCAGATGCTCCTCGTAATTATAATATAACTTTTGACGAAAATGGTTTCTACAAAACATTAAAACGCAGAGTAATAACAGAACTTTCAACGATAGACACAAGTGTCATTTGGAAATCAAAACTTACATCTGATATCGTTCTGTGTGGATTTTTTATTGCATCAATAATGGCGGCAAAAATTGAAAATTTTAATATAAAATTATTATTCATCATCCTAGCGTCACAATTCGGAGCATGGATCATTCCAACATCACACAACTTTAATCATCAACGAAATAATTGGCGAAGATTTAATGCAAATTTTGTTATGCTTGGTTGGAGAACGTGGCGAACTTCACATGTTATTGTAAGTATAACCGGTTCTAAACCAAGTTACACTTTGAGGCAGATAATATCTCAAATTTTATATCATCTTCTTTGTCAAGGATGAATGAGCAAGCTTCCTGTTTTTTTTATACGAATTTGTTTGACATTGAAATTTTGTTATTTTTTTGTAGAGCTCGAAGTCGACTGAAGTCTTAATAGATTAGCTCATGCGCGTAGCCAGGAGGATCTTGTCCTTCTTAAGCGTTTAAGACCGTGCTCTTGCTGCGGTTCAATATTCACATTTAAGGGGGGACAAGACCCTCCTGGCTTTGCGCCTAGCTTAGCGTCTAAAAATGAAGTCAACTCGGTTTTGAATCTAGTCAAGTCAACTCCAACCCTCTCGACTTCTGGCTCTGATTTTTTTTGCATATGTTTCTTAATTTTATTATTTTCTATTTTAGTCTCATCACATGTATTCAAATTCGTTTACAGATATGGAAATTACGTCGCTAGAACCACTTGTTCAATTGCTTCCGGGTAAGACTTGTACTTGATCATGCTTCCGGATATGAGAAGATGCTTGCTTTTTTTCTACAGTCCGGCTATTAATGTTAATCTAAATTTACCGTTGCAGTTCACAGCCGATCGAGTTTTGAAATCATGTGTAACTTTATGCTTCTTCCAATTTCATATGTACTGCCTTTTCACTTAGGCCTCATATTCAGGTAAACAACATCACATGATTACATGGTTCCTAAAAGGTTAAATTTTAATTTTAAACATTCTCAGATATCTTGGACTATTCTATAGTAAAAATTTCAAGCTTCACTGGGATGAGATCTTAGTTCTTTTACCTCCAACTTCTATGTTTCTTTTCGGAAGTCCTACCTTCACTTTATCAAACTTACTAGACATTTTGATCACATGGAATATCATCATTGCAATTTCGAGCTTTTTGTTTGTTGCAATGGCAATCAGCGGAGGTCATCATAGTCCATCAATTGTTCACGAAGGCGACGACATCAAAAGCATGGATTTTGGAATTTATCAAATGTTAACAACTTTTGATCGAACTGAAGCAAATTTCTCAATTCCAATATCTATTCTTTATTTTGGGGATCATGTCTTGCATCACTTATTTCCAACACTGGATCAAGCTATTTTGCCACAATTAAGAGAAGTTTTAGACAAAACTTGTCAAGAATTTGACGTAAAATATATCAAATATGGAACCGTCAAGTCATTTTTTGGGCTTTTGAAGCAAATGTCAAGAACTAAAGCTAAGACATTTAAGAATATTAATATTAATGATTAATTTTTTATTGAAATGTTCAATTTTACAAGATTTTCTATTAATAAAAGTTTTAGTCATTAGAAAAAGCTTGCAAATCATCTTCAAAGGTTTTAACGATTCAAAAAAAAACGATTGTAAGAATTAATAGAATCTATTACTGTTAGGCATTTTAACAAAACTGTTCATGGAAACAAATGTTTAAGAATCGTTTAACAATATAAAAATCATTTCTTAATCGTGTAGATTTTATTTACATTTTGGATTAAAAATGTTTTTCCTCCTTTCAGACAGTTCTTATGTCTAGACTCAGAAACTATTAAATGATATGCAATGACAAATGGTGTCCTACTAGAGTTGATTGATTGATTATGTTTATTCACCCTCTGGGGTAGTTTGATGATGCTTAATGACAAGCAGAGCTCGATTCGATTTCTTCATTCAAAAAAAATTACTCAGTTGACTCGAAGCCGACTCAAGTCAAGTCAACTCGAGTCGACTTTAACACAAAGTTGACTTTATTGTTTACATTCCTTGATTTCAGTGTCAAACAATTGAATCGAGTCTTGTTTAAGCAGGCATTGACTAATTTGAAATCCGTTAAAGATCACTGCAAGAGTCAATTAGAGTTTGCAGACTTTACAAAATTTATAGATGCGATACAAAATTGCGCCTTAAAATCTAGTTGACAACTCCTTAATATCTTCTTATAAATCTTTATGTATCTCATGTAAAGTCAAAAAGCACGCGATATTATTGATTATTTTCTAAAAAACAAATAAACTTTAAATTGACGTCAAACAAAATAAATGTTTTTTTTTAGTTTATCATCAAACAGCTAAGAACTAAGGAGGAAAACACATATAAAAATGAGTTTTAAAGCAATCGTTTGTTATACTTTAGTTTAGGGTTTCTGAAGCCGTTAACGAAAAACGGAAAACGGCCGTTAACGGCACAAAAATTGAAAACGGAAAACGGCCGTTTTTCATTCCGTTTTTCCGTTTTCTCATAGTTCATACAATGTTGAACAGTTAAAAGTTTTTGCAATTGAGATTTATTATTATGGATTGCCTGGAAAGTTTGAAAATCTCATTTCAAGTAGTATATTAGAATCAGAAATGTAATCATAGTTGCGAGTCCAGTTTTGTTTGTTGTTTAAATACAACAAATCAAAATCTGAACTCAAGAATTTACAACGGGTTTTTCATATTTGATTTTTATCAATTTTTATGAAAAATACAGGAAATCGATCGGAAAATCTTCAAAAACTTTATGATGCTTTGTTGTGTATTAAGCCGACTATTACAGATGTGGAGCGAATATTTTCAATCTGCAATAATTTTTGCACAAAGATTCGTTCAAGGCTGGCTGATGCATCACTATATGCTCTTGTTTTTCTTAAGTTCTATTATAATAAAATGAATAAATAGTTATAATAAATATAAATAGAACTTAAGACTTTCTACATATTATCTATATAGAACAGCAATTCTTTATCTTTTGAGGAATATTTCATTTATATTTGGGTATTTAAAAAACTTAAAACGGCCCGTTAACGGCCGTTTTTGAAAATAAAAAACGGAAAACGGCCGTTTTCGAAAATGCCGTTTTTCAGAAACCCTACTTTAGTTATAAATTTTTTGTTTGCGAAACTTTATCGATAGGAAGTTCAGAATAAGAGATTTTATCAAAAGTTTTTAGTGAAATTGTTGACGAATTTTATGTAAAAAATCAGGTTTGATTTGATGTTGCCATAATTACAGAAACTTCCAAACGTCACAGTGACAACTTTGGTGAACTTATCTCCACAACTCAGTTAACTAATGCATATCACCTTAGCTTGTTGGATATTGGTTTAAGTAAAAAAATTACTTTTATTTCATCAACAATTTTATTCTTGTCATGTTGTTGGGAATATGCTGCATTGCATCAAATAGCGAAACTTAAAAATAAATTCCCTAAACCACTGTGATTTTTGATTTACGTTGAGAATTGTGAATTGCTAATGTTTAAAATTCATTTGACATATCTTTTGCAAACTCAAAATTTATCATTGAAACAAGGAACATTAGAAATGTTTGAATTTCTTCTTATAAATGATGAAAATTTTCTATATTTAGCGTCAATCGAATAAACGTCATCACAGAACAAGCATGCAATCAACTACAAATAAAGGTTTTAAATTCGTTCAATAAAATTACAAGAAAATGGCAAAAAAGTTGGAAACTTATCAAAAATTTCAGAATTTCTATAGCTGCTCATTAAAATTAGGTATTCAAACTTCTGGAGAAGAATCATGTTGGGGAGGAATCAGACCAAGAAAAGCATCTAATGGGAAAAAGATTCATTTGGGCTTGACACCAAAAATATTCTTTTTTATTTCCGAAAAAACTAATTTTAAACCTAATCTAATGGAAATAGTTAATAAATATGTGCGTCCAGACGTATTTTTCTACATTTTTCGTTCAATTACGTTTAAAGGAAAATTGTTGCACATGTAAACTTCATTTGTTGAGATCCGCGATGTTGGGATAGCAACGCCTGGTGATTTTTACCGTTCTTATGAGAAGCTTTTGCTCTCTTTTGATGATATGACTTGGAAACTTTTGAATTTTACATTTTCGGCAGCATTTTTTGCCATTTTTATTATTAACAGGCTCCCAAAATTCATCCAGCGTCGAGTACATGGTGAAAGAAACCAACATCCAGCACTTTTTTTTTTTTTTTTTTTAATAATTGATTCATTTTATTGTATTTTAGTATAAACTATTAATAAAAAATATACAAGATGTAAATAAGAATTATTATTATTTATTTGTCGACGTTACCGTCCGGAAGAATTAGTATTTATACATGTTTTTACTTTTTACATTGATTAGTGATACATTTCATATCACTATGGGTGACGTAGAATCAAGCTTCTAATCTTCAAATCTAGGTTTCAAATAAACTAAGGCTCTCGTTTCAATCTTCTGTGGGCGTGACGTGATACATTTCAGGTCCGTTCTGACAATATTCCATTATAAGGTAATCTTGTAGCTCTCGTTCCTATTTCTCCCGCTACACTTCAAGTTCCTGATCCGTTCCTTAATCCAACGTTGCCCAAAATGCCCAATTATGGCTTGACTCGTACATTAAGCAGTCGAAGTATCTAAATTTCTGAAAAAGAACAAATTTGGAAATGGCTGGATTCGAACCGACGACCTTCGAGTTACCATACCAAATTTGAGCCAAGCGCCTTACCTATTCGACCAGCAAGGCACTTAACTACTTAAGTACTATAACGTTACATATCACACCATAAATGTTTTAATGTCATTATTACATTTTTTGGAATAGCACAATTTAAGCTGCCAATTAGAAACATTCCAAGATTTATTCTTATTATATTTGTTTAATTTTGTTTGATTTTTCGAACCTGCTATCAAAGTAAAATGTTTGAGTTTCTCTCAAGTTCACCAAGACATCCATCACCTAAAACTATAAAAGACTTAAAAGATGGAAATTATACGCTTTTTACAACTTCTGATTATAAACAATTAGAGAAGCTGATTAAAAATGAAAAACATATTTGGTAATTGTTTATCGTTTGATTAGTTTCACACCCTGTTTTCTAAAATTTTATTTTTTATTCAAAATGAACAATGTTATTGATGATGATAAAATTTTCGACTCCACGACAACTCAATCACGAAATTCATCAGCAAAAATTGCTGCAAAATTGAGATACACGAAGTCAAAATATAACGATGTAAATTGGTATAAGCTTCAAAATTATTCACTAAAAGTCACTCAACTTGGATTTTCTTTTTTCTCAAACAACTTTTTCTATGAAATTGTTGATAAAGTCACACAAAATCTCAATTCTGGTGGATTAATCGATTACATTCTTGATTCATGTGGATTTTTATATCCATAATTGAAATTATTTACTGGATTTTAAAAAGAAAATTTGAAATATTTATGAATCAAATTGGATATTTAAGCTATAATGTTCGACCAATGAAGATCGATTATGCAAAAATTTATTTATTTATTTCGGTCACAAAAAAATTATGAAGATTTATTTTTGTAATTAAATATTTCGATAGCATCAGAGGCTTAAGTGGTAGAGCGTTAGCCTTAAGTGTCAAAGGTTCTGGGTTCAATCTTAGGACAAGTCAAGTTTTAGGAGCTCTTTTTCCATTTCACCGTTCTGTTAGGTGTAATTTTGATGTCTTTGGCAATTAAAGTGTCTCCTTTGTTAACTATACAAGGATATACTAGCATCTGGATGATTTCATTACAGCATCTTGCGAACACGAATTGTGACTAGGTGCATTGCAGGGTACAACAGGTCTATAGGCGTACCCATGTCTTTGCAATGTGCAGAGCTTGCAAGTGGTTTGAATTCCACTATAAACTGTAGGTCTAAAGGGTTTATGATAGGGTTTAAGATTCTGTTTCAATTTGAATTGCAGTGCATCCAGCTTAAAAGGCTGGGCCCTCTTTATGTTCTATCATTGCTTTTGATTAACTAAAGTTTTAATTTAATTCAAAGACCTTTAAAATGGACAGAATATTCTATAAAATAAAAAATGAGAAAAAAATAAAAAAATGTTAAAAAAACTTAACCTTCATCAACATATAACATATGTTTGAGATTTCTGATAATTTTTTTTTTGTCTTTTTGTTTGATTCGTGCTACGAGCCCAAAAAATTAATTGCTGTAAATAATTTTCGAAAAGAAAGTCACATAAAATTGAGAGAAAATGTATTTCAAATTTGTTTTGAGTTTTTCATTATGTTTGATTGTATTTTGTAAAAATCTTTTGAAACCAATTGAAGAAAATCCTGAAACTTTAGTGATTTCGAGTGCTATAAGTGAAATTATCAACGAGTTTTATGTGAAAAATCAGATTTTATTTGATTTTATAATCAGTGATTTAGCTTCAAATAACATTTTTGTGGAAATTATAACATAAAATCAAGAAAACTTTTCATATGAAATAATGTTAAATCGCCAGACTTACAATAACTTGACAAGATCAGCAATATTTCTCATTCATTCATGTCCTAGCTATCAACTGCTTCATAAGTACTATAAATTAGATAATCAATATCCAAAACCTTTAAAGTACTTAATTTACGTCACAAATTGTCCATTAGAAGTGTTTAATGAAAAAATAATATTTATAATTAAAAATAAATTTCTTAAGTTTGGAAAAGGATCAATAGAAATTTTTGAATATATCCTTATTGATGACAAAGATTATCTCTATCTAGCGACTATTGAATGGTTTACAGAAATTCTATGTAATCAACCGCAGTTTGAAATTTTAAACTCATTCAATAAAGTGACGCAAAAATGGCAGAACAAATTAAAAAATTATGTCAAGTTTCAAGATTTTCATGGATGTGAATTAAAAGTTATACTTCCTCGCGACTTACTTGTTTGGGGATCCATTATTAATGATCAAGGTGTCACATTTGGTTTAATTCCGAACCTAATTACAACAATGTCAAAGAATTTTAATTTCGACGTATCTTTTCATGAAGTACATCTAGGTTTTTATGATTTTGAAATTTATGTTGAGGTCAGTCATTTAGCTAGCTTGACATATACCAACGAGATCCATATGACTTCATCATTTACTGAAGTTCGTGAAATCATTTTAGCAACACCTGGTGATCTTTATTCGTCTTATGAAAAGCTTTTACTACCATTTGATGACGTTACTTGGATGTTACTTCATTTTACATTCTTAGCAGCATTTTTTGCCATTTTTTGGATAAACTTTTTTCCAAAATTTCTTAAGGAACGACTTTTTGGTGAAAATGTTCGAACACCAGCATTAAATATCGTCAGCACATTTTATGGAATTCCACAATTTAAGTTATCTAATAAGCATATTCCTCGGTTCATTCTCATCATGTTTGTCTTCTTTTGTTTGATTTTTCGAACTTGTTATCAAAGCAAGTTGTTTGAATTTGTAACAAGTGAACCGAGACGTGCACCACCAAAGACAATTGACGATTTATGGAAGAGAAATTATACATTATATTTGGAAGAAGATGAGTCTAATAAGCGAATTTATAAAATCATCAAGAATGATTCTCAAAAATGGCAAGTTTTAAACAAAAAAAAATAATTTTATATTTTTAAATCTTTTTTTAAACCCTAAACAGGCCTAAAATAGAACAGATAACTTGGAAACTATACAAAGAATATTTTAAAAATCAAGCACAAAATGGATCAGCAAAAATATGTCTTATTGTGCAGTCAGCTGCTATGAATTTTTATGAATCATACAAAAAGTCAAAATCATGGTACAGATTGACAGACCTTGCCGTTGAAACCACTCAGTCTGGGTTTTTAATGGCCAAGAACAACTTTTTCTTTCAAGTTATTGACACTGTTCTGCAGAAATTTCTTCAAGCAGGTATAATAGATTTTCTTATTACAGAACGGATACAACCAGGAATGCAATTAGCTGTTGTAAAGGAACCATTGATGTTGACAATAAATGATTTAAATTTTGGATTCATTATTTGGCTCGGATTTTGTGGAGCATCAGTTCTTGGTTTTTTTGTTGAGATTCTGTTTTTTATTCTAAAGAAAAAGTATAAGAAACCAAAATTGATAAAAGTTAAACCTGCTAAAGTTCATTCTGAAATTAGTATAATATTATCAATCCAAAAACAAGGAGGTAGAGGTTGACTTCAATAATACAATAATTAAAAAAACATTTATTTTAAATCTGATAATAAACCGACATGCCACAAAAAATATGTTAAATAAATTATTTATAACTTTTTCTTAGAACTCGTCAGCCGATCGAAAGTTTTCGTTATTATTTCTCAAAATTTCAAATAGTCAAAAACAAGCTTCAAATGTAGGTTTCGATTAAATTCAGGCTGTTGTTTCACATTGTTGTTACATTTCAGGTCTGTTTTGACAATATTCCATTATAAGGTAATCTTGTAGCTCTCGTTTCTATTTCTCTCGCTACACTTCAACTTCCTGATCCGTTCCTTAATCCAACATTGCCCAAATGCCCAATCATGACTTGATCTCGTTCATTAAGCAGTCGACGTATCTAAACTTCTGTAAAAGAAAAAAATTGGAAATGGCTGGATTCGAACCGACGACATTCGAGTTACCTCCTTACCGAGTTAATTTAATTAACATCTCAAACGAATTCGCATGAAACATTATTAAATACTGAAAGTCGCATACAAATTAGGCGAAGTGTTATAAAATAGGATTCTGCAAGCACTTGTGAAGTATATTATTTGATTATATAGAATTTTAACGTTTGAGTATCTCGTTATTTGATTCAGGAAAGAGGAAAGCAATGTTGAATGTTCAAAGAAAATTATTGTAACCTTTGTAATATTTTTTTGATTTTACTTAATTTGCTTTGAATCGAATTAAAATGAACTCAAGCTTATAAAAAGTCAACTTAATTCACATTTTTCTCATATTATTAGGCAAAGCTAAAAGCACTTCCTAAAGCCTTAGTTCAAAAGTTTTGTAAGTTTTGCAAGGTTGTGGAACTCATAAATTATATTTTGATCATTTTTGATCATTTCACCTTCGTTTAATGGGAAGTGTCATTTGTCATAATTATCACCGAGGCAACATAAGATTTATTAATTATTATTTCATGTCGGTAACACTTCAATTTAGTTACAATTTAATTAATTTTCTATTTCACTGGAAGACAAGTACTAACAATTCATTTGTTTATAAAATATAGACATCTGACACTCTATAAATGTTTCAATAAACCAAACACAATGTAGAGATATGAAGCACATTGCAAGCACATTTATAAATGTGAAAGGCACTTAATATTGTCGAAAATATGAAATATATTTCAAACAGATAAAGAAATACGTCTAAGAAGTGATGTCATGCTTATGAGAGGGAAAAAACGCAATGCAAAAAAAAGAACAAATTACGCAGGAAAATATTGAAAAACTTTTCTTACAATTTACATTCTTTTCATGTTTCTTTTGTGTATTTTTCTTTCATTAAGACAAAAAATTAAGCATATGAAAATTTTTGTGAAGTTTCATTTGTTTTGTTTATGAAGAGAATTTTTTTTTAATTCCGCTCAATTGTGAGAAGGAGAAATTTATTGTTTAAACTCTTTGAGTGACGTCATGTATAGAGGATCAATTGAAAATTGTTTGAAAACTGTGAAATTCAGCAAAGGAATTTCAATAGATTTAGAAAAACTAAAACAACATATACGTAGCTCAATTAGAAAAATAATGCTAGAATGCAGAATTAAGGATATTTTTAAAAACTCATCTTTCAATTACTTATTGTCACTAAAAGTTTGCTGAACAAGTATTTGTCTTTGAGGGTTGGATGATTTCGCAATTTCTGCGAACGCCGTGAAATAAAACAACTAAGAAATATATAGTATAATTCACTTTCTTTATTTCTGGTGTTTGCGTGAGTTCACACTAAATCAAAAGAGGTATAATTAATTATCTAATTAATTCAATATATTTTGGGACTTACAAATAATTGCTTTCACATCCAACTCGTGTGACGTTTTAAGTAAAAAGGGTTAAGCAAATGTTAGGAGGGGTGTGAAAGCTTAGGTAAATCCTCGTAGGGTTCAAACATTTATTAGGGCATGTGAATAAATGGTTTAAAATATATAATACCAAGAAGTCTGTCATTTATAGCAAATGACATACTCGCCCGGGAAAGAAGTTCATAAACTTCTTATTTAATTCATTTTATTGGGGTTATTCTGCTATATCTGCTTCCAGATCGATGTGAAGTACGTTATCATCAGAATCAGTTTCAATTTCAGTTGTTGCTTTCGATGATTCACCCTGTTCAGCAATTGTCGCGTCAATTGCTTTCTCATTCTCAATAGCAGGTGTCTCATTTACTTCAGTTCCATTAGCATCTTCCCTCGGATTAACTAATATCTTGTGATTGTTGAGGAATGCCTTACTAGACTCAGCTGTATTCTTTCCTGGATAGACTTTGTGGTACTTTTCATATAAATTCTCAATCAATTTCTTGTTGTCGACTCGCTTATCACTGTTCAAAAATCCAGGCCACTCATAAGTAGTTATCAATTGATTAAGTGCTTCAGCTTCTTGATTCCATTGAACTATTCCACTCTCCAGAAAATGAGCATCTTCCATGGCAACTAGCATTGGAATATTTTCGCTGAGTGTGGCACGAATTGGCTTCTGTTGAATTATGTGTTCAAAGAATCCACCTTCACCACCTACTTGACGTGCATCTGCTTGACGTAAGAATGTAATAAATCCTTGTGGCAATGTCCAATCTCTCTTTGCATCATAATTAAGTCTCATGCCTGTGACGACACCCTTTCTCTCAAAATATCTCACTAATTCAAGTAAGTAGTAGATTGGCGCTTCCTGTTTACGTTCTAGACTTTTCAATATGACAGTGATTGGAACACCCTGGAATGAAGTACTAAAGTCTTTGTCGATGAATGTTGCTCTGCCAACTTTCATTGGAACTTCAATAGGAGTGATGGTGTTGTTGTTGATGTTTAGCTTAATACTTTCCAAATATTGAGCACTCTGCTTAAAAGGAAAATATATGAAAACTGTCTCGCTTAATCTCTTTGCTTTATAGTCCGCTACTCTCATAATACCAATAGCATCCTTAACGTATGGAGTAATTTCCAGTAACACTTGACTAATTGTGTATGTCTCAGGAACTGGTGCGATTTGAACGACGGTAAAAAAATTTTCTTGAGTTCTTTGCGATTGCTCAGCACGATCATTAAGTTCAGCCTTTTCAGCGTTTCGCTTGCCTAATTTATAATTCATGATGGTTACTGCTCTATCTGGAATGATTAGAAAAGAATAAAAATTACGGGTATACCATGCGTATAATAAAAGAACTGATGCGTTCAGTGATATAGAGAATTTTGTATTAATTCTAATAATTAGCATGTCTAGTCATGCGGAGAGTATTTGTAAATTAAGTTTGGCGAGTCTGTTGACACTTCGCCGTTGTCTTATTGTGCCATCAGGCATAAGTATATCCGCTACTCTCCCTCTCGAGTCTTTTGATTTATAAATTTTGATGACCTTAGCTCTTTCCCATGCTTTTCGTGTCCTATTTGGATCCACAAGCAAAACCAAGTCATTGACTTTCATTGGTGGCTTATCTTTAAACCATCTGTCTCGTTTTGTTAAGACAGGCAAGTAATAAGCAACGAATCTGCGAGAAATGTCTTCAGCGAGAATTCGTCCCTTTCTATATTGATTACGATCATCCAAAGGATCATGCGGTAACTTCTTCTCGAATATTGAAGGTAATAGCGGCCAACCAGATCTGTTCTTGGCTAAATGGTGAGGAGTCAACACTTCTTCATCCTCACAGCTTAATGGATTATGTGTAAGTGGTCTACAATTGATTCTGTGAGCAGCTTCTTGCAATGCGATGTTTAATTCCGTCTTTGAAACTTTCCGTTTCTCAATTGATGACGCGATTGCTCTTTTGACTTCTTTAATAAGTCTTTCGTAAAAACCTCCAAACCAAGGTGACTGTACAGGAATAAACTTCCAAGAGCAAAACTTATCAGCCTGATCCTTGACCCAGTTGTTTTTAGCTTGTTGTAGACATTTGGATATCTCTTCCTTATCGTGATTGATGACTCTAGCAGCTCCAGTGAAGTTTGTGCCATTGTCCGAGATGAATCTACTGACAGGACCGTGAGCTGACCATAATAGCATGATTGCTTCCAGTACGCTTGATGTATCAAGCTTATCCAATAAATGTAGATGTACGAATCTCGACATGGTACAAGTAAAAATCAATATCCACACCTTCTTCTCTCTGCCGTAGTTGTACACTTTCAATGGACCAGCACAATCCAGTCCAGTAACTTCAAATGGCTTCAATGATGGATTTACTCTGCAATCAGGCAGTGCTGCCATTTTAGGAGGTTCTGTATTAGCAGACTTGACACGACAGTAATTGCACATACTTTTCGTTTTCTGCAATGCAGCACGGAGTTGGGGCATCCACATAACTGATCGAAATTCTGCTACTTGACTCTCTATACAAACATGTTTGTATTTGTAGTGGTAATGACGAAGTAAAACCTCACTCAAAAGGTTTTTCCTGGGG